AAACAAGGTTTAAATTATATAGCCTACACAGACATCCTACGAAGACAACAACTTTAGACGCATGTTGTTGAATTGGCTGACATTGACTGAAAAGACTATTTGCTCAACAATCATAAAATACACTTACTGTTACTGGAGGTGACGGTGGATCGCAAACAGTAGGCTAGATGACGATCCACAGTTCAGGATTAACTTTTAAACCACAACAACAGGATTAACCCACCACAGAACATTTATCCGGCTGTCGTTGAAACAATGGAGGATGTGTGTCCAGATCACTGAGGGCGGGGTCTAGGCCACAACCACAATCAAACCCCTTTCTCAACTCTTGAGAGTATTAGTAGAATAGTAATTGACTGTCTGCTTAATATCTGTTAACACTTAATATGTTGTATAATAAAAATGTAATCTAAATTTTTTTAATCTAAATTGAGAGTATTTTTTATTTTTATGTATTTTCACCCTTCCCCCAAAAAATATAGATACACAAAGGGTAATGGACTAACAAGAAACAGCTGGTAGCAATTAGGGACTAATTAATCAAACTAAAAGGGACCGCAAACGTGGAACAGGAAGACACCAGGGCCAGAAGAACAGAACAGGAGTCCAAGGCCTGGGAAGCATCCAGAATGAGCCAGATAGCACCATGTTGGAGCAGGGAACCAAGGCAGACCCAGAACCACTGCCAGAGATAGAACCCGTGGTGTATAACATTCAATAGATTATTGCTGTCTGTTAAATGTACCACTAGATGGCAGTGTTATGTAAAGTGTTAAGAGGACATGATGCAGATGAACATGGTATTCATGACATGTTGTGTGGTGAGACTAAAGATGCAAGTAATCCACTTTAAAAGGCTCTTCATTTGGGTTGCAACAAGAGACAAACACAACATGGTACCAGAAATGGATCTCTGTGAGCTCTTTCAAAAAGAAAAGGCAAGGAGTGCAAACCTGATTAAAGGACTTTCAATGGATAGTTCACCCAAAAATGAAAATTAGCCCATAATTTACTAACCCTCTCAAGCCATCCTACTGTAGGTGTATAAGACATTCTTCTTTCAGACGAATACAATCAGAGTTATATTAAAAAATGTCCTGGCTCCTCCAAGCTTTAAAATGGCCGAAAATTTTTCATCAAAATTCATCCTTCCATGATAAAAGTGTTCCACTTGGCTTTGGGGGGTCAATAAAGGCCTTCTGAAATGAAGTGCGTTTGTGTTAGCATTTGCGTCCGGCAGACGGCCTACGCTAGTTGACTAACACCAAAAGAGTAACACGCAGGATGGAGGAGACAGACTCCTCTCGCGATTCAAACACACAGGGCTGGGCAACAAACTCAAACTCCTCCGACTTTTTTCTTTAAAAATTGTCGTTAGATTTCTAATTTGTGTGACTGGTGTTTTGTTTTGCTCTATCCTTGCTCTATCCTCTGCACTTCCACGTTTTGTCATTGTGTCGTGAGTGAAGGGTTACTCTTTCACCGTAAATCGATACGTACGGCCGTCTGGTGGAAGCTAGTTAATTAAGATTGTAGAGTTATAAATATGGGTATTTTTATTACAGAAACCCATGGCTGTGCTTCAGAAGGCCTTTATTAATCCCCCGGAGCCATGTGGATTATTTTTTATCATGGATGGATGCACTTTTTTGAGCTTCAAATTTTCTCCAGCAATTCACTCCCATTATAAAGCTTGGATTAGCCAGGGATACTTTTAGGCCTATTTCTCATTACTCTGTTTCAAAAGTAATATTATTACTTTACTTATTACTCCCTGCCTACACATTATATTACTTCTCCGTTACAACCCATAAAAATTGGTAATTGTGTCCTTTCTCAAAATTTCTAGCTTCACGTGCACCCTTATATATTTATTTAGACATTAATTCTTTCATGCATGAATTATGACTACCCCAGTAAGGATTTTAGGGCATGAAAATAACATTTGAAAAAGATTTGTTTTTACACATATTTTCACATTCAAAATGGAAACTTTTCTACCATAGCTCTCCTACCTGAGATAACCTCAGTTAACATGCTTGAAGTAATCAGATTACTTTTTGGTGTAAGTAAAGTAACGTATTATAGGTAATCAGATTACTTTTTGGTGTAAGTAAAGTAACGTATTATAGGTAACATGCATTTTGTAATCAGATTACCTTTCTGAGGATGGACAGAGGCCAATGGGCAAATTTTGCAAGGATGCAGGGGTTAAACCCCTACTCTTTTTCAAAGGATATCCTGGGATTTTTAATGACCACAGAGAAGCAGGATTTTGGTTTTAACGTCTTATCCGAAGGACAGTGCTTTTTGACAGTATAGTGTCCCACTCAGGCCGCATCACCCCAGACCCACAGGGTGAGCACCTCCTACTAGTTTGAATAGACCGTTAGTTTGAAATCAGAATGCTTCACAAATCTATGGCCTGGTTTCAAGCAGGGCTTAGATTAGGCCAGGATTAGAACTTAGTTCAATTAGGACATTAAGTATCTTTTATAAACATGCCTTAGAAAAAAAAAACTTCCCTGTTGTGCGTTTAGAGAGTGACAATGGCGTTGACATAATATGCTTATCCACTGCACCATCACCACACCCCATTTTCATGCACAACCATGTCTAGGGTTTATAAAGAATGGTGTGAAAAGGGAAAAACAACCAGAATGCAGCAGTCCTGTGGGCGAAAATGTCTTGTTGATGCTAGAGGTCAGAGGAGAATTGGCCGACTGATTCAAGCTGATAGAAGAGCAACTTTGACTGAAATAACCACTCGTTACAACCGAGGTATGCAGCAAAGCATTTGTGAAGAAGACACAAAACACACAACCTTGAGGCGGATGGGCTACAACAGCAGAAGACCCCACCGGGTACCACTCATCTCCACTACAAATAGGAAAACGAGGCTACAATTTGCAAGAGATCACCAAAATTGGACAGTTAAAGACTGGAAAAATGTTGCCTGGTCTGATGAGTCTCGATTTCTGTTGAGACATTCAGATGGTAGAGTCAGAATTTGGCGTAAACACAATGAGAACATGGATCCATCATGCCTTGTTACCACTGTGCAGGCTGGTGGTGGTGGTGTAATGGTGTGGGGGATGTTTTCTTGGCACACTTTAGGCCCCTTAGTGCCAATTGGGCATCGTTTAAAATTGAGCATTGTTTCTGACCATGTCCATCCCTTTATGGCCACCATGTCCCCATCCTCTAATGACTACTTCCAGCAGGATAATGCACCATGTCACAAAGCTCGAATCATTTCAAACTATTTTTTTTTTTAACATGACGATGAGTTCACTGTACTAAAATGGCCCCCACAGTCACCAGATCTCAACCCAATAGAGCATCTTTGGGATCATCTTTCGTGCCCTGGATGTGCATCCCACAAATCTCCAACAACTGCAAGATGCTATGGGCCAACATTTCCAAAGAATGCTTTCAGCACCTTGTTGAATCAATGCCAAGTAGAATTAAAGCTATGGTATACGATGTTAAAAATCGGTCGAGACGGTAGGGAAGTTTTAAAAAACTCATCCCGCCCCTCCACACACACACCCCCTCCCCTCTGTGCTACCTGATCCCTGACGTATGTCACGTTTGAGTTCACGTCAACGCAAGATTAGCAACACATGCAAAACTCCCCACCACCATTATAATACTACTAGTATTGCTAAGGTTTTCAGTAATTGTTATTGCAGCACGCAGCGCATCTTGTTCAAATTCCGATCGGCTCGAACAGAAACCTCGAACAAGAAATATAATTACTTTGAACCGCGATCGGCGATGCTAAACGGCTAACATTCCAATGCCGACCGGCAGCATGAGCAAGTTGTCAAACTGATAAAAAGCCACTTAACACGTCACACCATAAAAGAATAAATAAATGTTTACCTGCTCAACAAAAAGTCATCCGTGTCAGCGTCGTTTTCAGCCCCAGATCTCCCTGAAGCTTTCTCCAATGGTCAATGAAGGACGCTATATTTATCCTACTTAGAGTCCGGCGTTCTTCACATTTCTTTTTAATCTCTGATCTTTCCTCCACAGACTTTCTCTTGCGTCCAAACTTTACAGTAGAGGTAAGCAGGGGCCGCTTGCTGTTGTCGTTTATATTTTTATCCATTGCTTTATCCATTGCTGATCTGACGCTACCAGCTAGCTACCATAGACAGTCTGTCAGCTGTTTGCTCACGCACGGAGGGGGGCGGGGGCGGGTGCGGTTGGGTTGGAGACGCGAGCGCCAGGCGGAGTTTCAAGTGGAGCTGGTGATTGGATGAGAGCAGTTGACCAATATAAGCTGTGCGGTCGCACAGCTTACATTGGTCAACTTTTCTGCGGCTGTCCAGCCAATAGAGTGAATGGATATTTTTCGTTCTTTTTTCTATTCATATTGTTAGGATTGTACTATATAACCATAACCAGCATCTAAACGAGGATATTAATAATGAACAATCTTTGAAATCGTATACCCTAGCTTTAAGGCATTTCTGAAGGCAAAACACAGTATTAGTATGGTGTTCCTAATAATCCTTTAGGTGAGTGTATACTGTTTAATGTTTTTTTTTACATCATTTTACACATCTATGTACATAAGCTGTTGCTTGTTTCTGCTGCTTCTTCACATGTCTTTTGATCAGGAGATTCACCATACATTCAAAAGATGCGTCAGAGCACCCCCTATGGAAAGCTTGAAATTTCCACCAATGGCGGTAAAGCGTTGTCTCATAAACCGCCTTTCCACCGCAGGAAATTTCCTCAGGAACTAGGGACTTTGGGGTAGTACTCGGTGTGTTTCCACTGCAGGAACCAGTGTCTAAATGAAGTTTCGGGTTAAAATTTCCCCCTCAGAAAGTCCCAGCTCGCAAGGTAGTGCTTTTTTAAAGTTTTCAAAGTGACACTGCTGCATGTACCATCCAGTACTCTACATAGTACACTAGCATTCCATTATAAAATGCCACAGACATTACTCATCTACATGGTTTACCCATTAAATGCACACAATAGGCAGAGTAGCGCAACAAAATAATTTTTATTATGAGATCAGAAATTCAGTAAGAAACCCATATTTTTCAAAAACATATTCCAGTTCCCAACATGAAAATGTAAAAAATTCAACATAAAAATATCCTTTTACAGCAAATAAAAGCCTGGATTGCACTGTTATTAAATGAGTGAAGAGAAATGTGTCTTTTAGTCTAAACATCTAATATTCCTGTGTTTTCAGCAGCTAAAATGTTGACATCCAGTTTCGTCAAAACGGAACCTGAACCGTAAAGACAAGATAAAGCCTTTTTTGTAACAAATCAGCAGTTGTTTTTGTACAAGACCAAAGCATCTTACATTTAAGAAGAGGTTTGACAGGAAAAATTCACCATGATGCATTAATTTAAAGGCTTGTTGTCATAAGTAGTTACATTCAAGTTTAAACTAAAATCAATACTAGCAAAATAATGTCTTCATGCCTGTCCTGGTAAGACATATGAGATTTGATTTTGAGTTTGTTAATGACATAAACTCATATCCTTCATTACACAGTAGTGCAGTATTCACCAGCACAAATGAGTCTTTACAGCAGGTTTCCTCTCCCACCTTTTAAACGTCTGCCGAGCTGTTGGGAGGTCACTGATAAGGGTTTGTGACAGTCTTCAGCTGAAGAAAATGTTGCTGTTAGCAGACTCGTTGTGATCAGAAGCATGTTCGTTACATCCCTGCGAGCTCCGCCTGCTTCTCGTCCTCAGACTCCGGTTGGTTGTCATCATCACCGTTATAATTAGCCACATCATCCTCTAGATCTAGACCTGCACCTTGATTTTCATCTGTAGAAACAAGAAAATTATCCCTAATCTTATTGCATAAGACAAAAGTCCTTTTGACATATAATGGTTATTCACAACTTTGTCAATTGACTTAAAACATAAAATACGTCATCTTTCCAGCTACCAAAAAGACATTTCCTAACATCTTTATACAATCATTTTAAATTGTAAAAAAGTCTAATTGTGTGATGATCATGATGTTGAAGAGCACCTTTAATTTTAGAGAGCTGTTTTTCTATCTCGCCCTCATTGTCGTACATAACGGCGTCTTCCTTCCCGTTTGCTGCATCTTCCTCTTTCCTGTACCCAATTTTGACATCTTCCTCCTCCTCCTCGTCATCTCCAATCCCGATGTCATTTTCCAGCACAGTATCTGCATGAAAACCATAGACTGTAAAAAATATGGACGTAGTGTCCGTGACGTCACCCATAGGTTTCTGAAGAGCGTTTTTGAAGACTAAAGTGGGCGGGGCCGGCCGTCGCCATCTTGGCAGTGCGTCACCTCTCGTCACTACCGGATAAATTAAAATGGGCAAAGAGGCGTGACGCGGGTGGAGCTGAGGTGCTAATGCTATGCTACTGCCGCTGAATTGACAGCTGATTGAAAAAGTAAAGCCAATGGTTCATAAAGTTCATGTTTTGCCCTTCGAAATATTATAATAGTTAAGACGTAACTAAAAGTGAGACTATTTACTTTACTTTTTTATCAACTTTATTAATCTCACAAGGGGCAATTAGTTAAGAGCATGTATACAAATACATTAACACAGATCAAACACATTTCTCACAACATACAAGCAGTCAACTATGTGCATCGTGATGCATTATTATTCTGCTAGTTAAAATGTATTAATTACTTACAATATTGCTCTAAGCTTGTGCATGACAGTGATTCAAGGCAAGCACACATGTCAGTCGGCATCTCACGTCAAGTTCGTAAAGAGCTTTAATTCAGTCCATTTTACAATCCGATTTTGGCCGCCTCTCAGTTTCTCGGATGGGTCAAACCAAAGATATTACTTCAGAACTTCAAGTAAATGAACTAGAAATCCGCGCTCATTCAAGGGTGTGAATCTATTGCATGGACGGAGAGAAAGCACTGAAATTATCAGACATCCATTAGTGCACGCGAGGGAAACAGCTGGAAACACGGCGCAGGTCGATCTCTCCATACGCAACACGACGGAATCCAACGGCGTGCACGGGCGAAGGTATAATACATACATGTATTAAATTGTATGAAATAATCCCGGAAAAAGCATAAACACAGCTGAGGGTGACGCTAACAGACAGCAGACAAACTACTAGCAGTGAAAGCGGCCGCAAGAATCCACCTGTCACTCAAGTGGCCACGCCCTTAATTATGCAGAAATTTAAGGCTAAAATATAATTTAAACAGATGAGTTGTAAAAAAATTCACCCCCCTCACAGTTGTCATGAAGGGAAAAATGAGCTCAATAGACCAAAGCCACTTTTTGCTCCAGGCTGTAAACATGTTTTTTTCTGCTGTAAAGTTGGGCATTTTAACATGGGGGAGATACAGATTTGACTCGCTTCTGCAGCCTGCCTCAAGCGGCCACTCGATAAATTGCAGTTTAATTCACTTCCGTATTGGCTTCAAGAGAAAGACGGGGAGGTTGCCGCTTGATGAAAACAGATAAAATTAGCAATGTGTGTGTGTTGTGCTTTAATGGCTGGATTCTCTCTTTTACCCCACCTCCTTTAATGTCCACCACTGCTTCTGGAACTTCTTCATTGGCTGGTCTGTTAAGAGTCTCACTCTTATTGGTCCGTTTGGAGGTGGGCGTGGGCAAGTCTTGTAAAATCACAGCATCTTAGAGGAGCAGACAGAATGTTGTTAAAGGGATACTCCACTCTAAAATGTAAAGTTGTGATTTTCTAGGCTGATTTGCTGATACACTTTCCGTCTGTCTTAGTGCACAATGTAACTATAGAAGAGTCAAGTTTTAAATAGGAAAAATATCGAAATACTTTGGTAATTTTTTTGGGAGAAATGCTAATGGTCTTGTGCACTTTAATGATGTATGCTAAGCTATGCTAAAAGTGGTACTGCCAGAACCGGAGATCGGCTGAATGGGTTCAAAAAAGGTAAAACTCAACAGTTTAACTCTGGGGGAGTTGTAAAATGAGCCTATTTCCAAAAAAAAAGTGGAGTATCCCTTTAAACATGTTATCTCTGTAAAGCTGCTTTGAAACAATCTGTATTGTAAAAAAACGCTAAATAAATAAATGTGACTTGACATGCTGAAGGAACAGAGAATTGAGTTTTTCTTTTTTTAAAAACTGACAAGACTTAAAGGCCCATTCACACCAAGAACGAAATCTATGGACAATGATGTTCTGTTTATTATAAGCACACACTGCAGTATTGTCGTCTGTCGCTTTAAATGCTCAGCCGGGTAGTTTTTGCTGTCAAAGTTTTTATCGTTCATGTATCTAGGGTTGCCAACTGTCCCGAATTAGCCAGGACGTCCCGTATTTTGGGCCTCGTACGGGACCTTCCTTGTCCTGATTAAATAGACTGCTATGCTGATCTAAGCACTGACTGACAGAACAGACACACACGCATAACACCGGTCATCATCCAATCACAGCCCACACTCACGAGCATCAGACCATACCAATAACAAACTCTACATTGAGAATTAGACTAATTATTCTTTTGGGACAAATCATTGTTTGATTTGCGAACAGAATCCTCTGCTGTCTGGTCGCTCCCGGTTCAATCCGGACTCACGCTAACGGCGAATCCCTTTCACTCTCCGATTTCGGCAAATTAGTTTTGGTGAATTCAAACAACGTGATTATTGTTCACAAGTCCAACTTCAGACACGCAAGAAAACATGAACTCTTCCTGAGGGAATAATATGCTGATGTGATTTGCTGCCCAAGAAACATTTCTGATTATAATTTATGTTTTTGATGAATAGAAGGTTCAAAGTAGATTCATCCGAAATAAAGCTTTTGCAACATTATAAATGTCTTTACTGTCACTTGATTACTTTAATGCAGTGTTTCCCAACCCTGTTCCTGGCGGCACACCAACACTGCGCTTATTCTTTGTCTCCCTAATCAGACACACCTGATTCAACTCATCAGCTCATTAACCCACCTGATTATGAGCTGATGAGTTGAATCAGGTGTGTTTGATAAGAGACAAAGAATACGCGCAGTGTTGGTGTGCCGCCAGGAAGAGGGTTGGGAAACACTGCTTTAATGCATCCTTGCTGAATAAAAGTAGGCTATTACTTTCTTTAATTTATTTAAAATGTAGTGTATAATGTTACAAAAGCTTTCTATTTCAGATAAATGCTATTATTTTGAACTTTGTTTAATGTGACCTTTTGCTTAAAACTTATTGTAGAATTAAATTGTACATAAATAGGTTAACCAAAAACTGTTATGTCTGAGAACCTTTTAAACGCATACGAACCTGAAATGACATACTGTGTGATACAGTACAAATATTTTGAGTGTCCCTTATTTTCATGTAAAGAACCACGATTGTTTGACAAGTTGGCAACCCTAGGTCTATCTATTGTACACCTTGGTACGCAAGTTTTTTATGGTTTTGCTCATGAAAATGACAGACTATATTTCAAATTTATTTAGCTTTCACAATACACATTTAAAGTGTTTACATGCCCACACCATATAGTTTACCATGATTATGGTTGATTGCGAGTATTTGATTGAAGTGTTGTGTTTAATCACAATATTGGTGCATGTAAACATAATCATTGTTTCAAAGCAGCTTTCCAGGACATTACGCAGTCGTCTGACCAAATGGGAGGTATTCCAATTAAAACAATGAGTTTAAGGAGAAAACCTTTAATCAATATTTTTGGACTAATTCTATCCTAAACACCTGCTATCTGAATAGATAATATATTTATATAATTATAAAATTGATTTATTCTTACACCGCAGGCTTGGGAAGCAAATGTTTATGTTATTATGAGTTTGCAGTAAGTGAAAATTAAAGTTGTGATGTTGCCTATTATGACGTTTGAAAAGAAAAGATAAAATACGAGGACTTGGTTCTAGGCATCGGTTGTTGATTGGATTTTGAGATGTGGGCATTGCACTCACAAACAGAGGCGGGCGAACACAAGCTTGCATGGGTGAATATAAGCGCACTAAATGACCGGAAAAGTCCTGCATACGCCATCAGAGAGAAGTCTGTCGGAAGATCTGAATCATTTGAAATACGATCAATACTGAGCATTTAGAGAAGAGATTGAGTAAATATTCATTTCAAGCAGATCTGAATCAGAATTTGGCGTAAACAGAATGAGAACAAGGATCCATCATGCCTTGTTACCACTGTGCAGGCTGGTGGTGGGGGTGTAATGGTGTGGGGGATGTTTTCTTGGCACACTTTAGGCCCCTTATTGCCAATTGGGCATCGTTTAAATGCCACGGCCTACCTGAGCATTGTTTCTGACCATGTCCATCCCTTTATGGCCACCATGTACCCATCCTCTGATGGCTACTTCCAGCAGAAAAATGCACCATGTCACAAAGCTCGAATCATTTCAAATTGGTTTCTTGAACATGACTGAACATTCTTGAACTGAATCAGATCTGCATGAAATAAATATTCACTCAATCTCTTCTCTAAATGCTCATTATTGATCTATTTCAAATGATTCAGATCTTCCGGTGAAACGACAGACTTCTCTCTGATGGCATATGCAGGACTTTTCCAATCATTTAGTGCGCTAGAGTTAGACTCTGTCCTGCTCCTGTCCCACATTCCTCTCAAATTGGAGAACAAAATGATGACGACTTTGTCTTTGTGGGGAAATATATTTAAACTTGGCTTAGCTTGGCTTAACAAAAGCATTAGTAATTATACTGTAGTCCCTTCCCTTACACCTTAACCTTCCCTTAAACGTACCCATACCACCACACCTGTCCCTAACCTTACCTGTATCACACCTCAATAGCAGCAAAAGAGTTTAACAATACAACCTGAACACAATGAGTACATTGTACTTATTTTTCATTGCAAGTATATAGTACTTAAAGCCACTTAATATAAAGTGGGACCAAAATTTCTTATCATTTCTATTGTTTTCTATGTTCAAGAATCACATTAGAGCCACAATTTCTACATTGTGTATTATTTAGTGTGTTACACAACAAATGTAAATCTTGGTGCTCTGGCACCTTATCCTAAGCCATTTGTCAAAATCTTGGGTGTGGTGTTGGACAGTGCCCTAAAGGTTAATAGACAGGTCAACCAAATTGTGAAGTCAAGCGTTTACCAGTAACGAACCCTGATAAAAATGAAGTCTTTCCTTTCATTGTCAAATTTTGAAAAAGTAATACATGGTTTTATCACCACAAGGCTAGATTATTGCAATTAGCTTTATTCGGGGATTAGTCAATCTTTCATAAATTGCCGGAGCTTTGACAGGGGTTATACGTTATATCCTGTCCTTCAGTCACTTAACTGGCTGCCAGTGTGGCTACAGCACATTGGTCAACGGAAGCTGTGTTTAATTGTGCTTTATAAATAAAGTGATTGATTGGTTGATTGAATTGCATGAATAATAGGCTATAATTAATTCCAGACACTGTAAACTCTTAAGTTATCGGACTTGCATTAAATTAGGGACTTCACCCATATATAGAGGCCATTTACAAACCACGTTCAAACAGGCAACTCTCACCTTCTTCCTTTTTCTCCACTACTAACTCATTGGTTTGGACCTTAGCATCATTTTTGGGCTGTGAATCCACATCTGGTTTGCCGTTCGGAGGTTCTGCCACACTTTTATTTGAATGGTTTGTGGCGGGCACATCAGATTTGGCTTTTGAAACAGAGACTTTCGGCATGGAACCATCAGCATCCTGTGAAGGACAGTTTAGGGTTAAGAGACACCAAATAAAGGAACTATTTAAGGCCATTTTTTTTCTCACAGTGGCGCTACCTTTTCAGACGTCCTTTGCTTTTCCATTTTGGCAGCTGCCATTTTCTCATTGCATTCCTCTTTTATGGCCTCAACTTGTTTGTTGCACTGAGACCTGCACAATACATACAGCCATTGTCATACCGATGAAGCGGTATAATGTCTTTGGTATTGTAGATTAGAGCATTCAGAATGGACCTACATCTCACTGCTGGCTTTCTTACTGAGCGTGTCCATGTTATTTTGACAGGACTTCAGCTCACTCTGCGCTTTACTCACATCCTGCAGTAATGACTGCATACGGTCTAATAAAAGGAAATCAACAAAAATGTGAAGGAAAGATGACATGCGTTACAGGGTAAATACAGTAGCACAAGCATGAGGTAAACACTTACTCTTCATGTCTTGCACCATTTTAGCACTGGTGGAAATGTTGATCTTCAGACTCTCCTATGACAGAGAGAAAACTTTTAGACCTAAAAACATACACTGAGCATATCCAAAAATCCTATTTTGGCCATTAAAACCTAGTGACCAGAGTACATACAGGGTCATTCTGAGTATAATTGCATAACTGTTTATATAGATAGCATTTCTGGACATCAATAACACTTATGTCGAGTTCACACTACAGGATTTTAAGCTGATTTAAGCCTGATTAGCATGTTAACGAGCTCGCCGACAGGTCGGGGTGTAATCGCGTGCAAATCTGAGGGTGATCCGCGCTCGCCAATCTTTATGCGTGAAATACTAAACAACGCATTAAAAATGCCCGCTGACACCTTGCGGATGGCAGACAGATATCTAGCATGCTAAATATCTGGAGCTGTCGGCTGACTCGATAAGCCTGTGGTGTCACGGGTCGCAACGAGGAGCAAAATTTAATTGAACTGTGGCAGGAGCGCGAATGCCTGTATGATGTTTCCAAAGAGATGTAGCCTACCACAACTGCACTGGGCTGGCAGCTGCCTTTTCATTATAAACATGTTTTACTCCTCCAACTCTCTCTGTAGCCAGACATGGGCGGCACTATAGGAGGGGCTAGCAGGTGTTTCAGCACCCCCAGGAAAGTTATTTCGTTATTTTGATGTAATAATATCTCGTTATTTTGACACAACAACTCGTTATTTCGACACAATAAGGGGACATTCTAATCTGAATTAAGACGCATCATATTCTGGGCTCATCTGATTTTTTTTTTTTTTTTGCACATAGCCCACTTTATTATGATTTTAGTTTCATAATGATATTTATTTACACACACAACTATACGTGAACTTGATATGTAAATATGTTGCAGATGTACAAACAAATGCCTTTAAACTTGCAAAATTCAGAATTAAATTAATGTGCAGCAATTTGTAGGCTACATATAGACAAAACTGGCGAAACTACCGGAAGTAAGCGGGGCGCCATTACTGAGCTGTTGCTGGGTAGCGTTGCGCCATTGCCTCCTATTGTTTTAGTTGCAACTTGCGTCCACTGGAATAAACAGCCCGCGATTTACGACTGTCACTAACGTTACAACGTTACCCCTTGTATAATGTCGAGTGGGTAAACAGTTTCCGTTATAAATTGTTTCAATGGTGGCAGTAAAATTTCAATTTTCAAGAGAAAACACTGTGAATACCCCGGGTCGACTGCCCCTGTCTGGTGCCCGTACGGTTTACAGATTTCCTGGGCGAGTACAAGACGTGGACATTCGCGTATAATAACAATTATTTAATGACATAAGTAAAAATAATAAATATGTGATATAGTGATCAGCAAAATCTCCTCTCTTGCTATTTTTTCTATTCAATTAACATGCTATGGTCATTAAATGGCTTTCCTGAGCTAAATGTAACGTTATGTGACATAATTGTTTTCCTGCTGTTATATTGACCTCTTTCCATGGTTTAAAAACACTAATTGGTCGATATTATGTATACTTTCTAGCTGTAACGTTACCCTTACCCTTGCCTGTTGCAATGTGAAAATGAGATAAATAATGGACACAAATGAAAAACATGAATTTGTTTATTTGATTTCATTCATTTATTTATTTATTGTTGCCAAATGGACAGATCTTTTTATAGCTTCCTCGTTAGCAAACGTTAGCCTAGCTAGCTTGCCAAGCTATTTTCATAAATAACGTTAATCTGTAAGATCGTTTGTACCTTCATCTGTGACTGGAGGCCACTGCAGTCACAGATCAAACCAACAAGTCATTCTGCCTGGCTGTAGCTGTCATCGAGGGTGAGTTCGCGTTATCACCGAGGTTTCTTTACATACCGGTGCATATGTCTATGCCGGTGTAACAGCTCAGTAATGGCGTCGCCACAAGATGGCAGCCTACACAGAACGCTCGTCGGATTCGTCTATAGGGAGTCTGGAGATTTTCTTAGAAATGTTAAAATGCACATCAACCGATCACTTGTTTAGCGTTCATGTAAACACTACAGTCAGATTCACCAATCGGAATGAATTCAGTTAGACTGAAACAAAAGCTGTGCATGTAAACAATGAATGGCGACAGCAGAAAGCAAAAGCTGAATCCCGGACATCGACAGCCGTACATGTCCGGGAAAAAGAGGATGGTAACCCCTACTACTCAGCTTTCTCCACAGAACAAGAACCTGCTAGCTTAGCTTCCAAAAAAAGATGGCCGACACTGTGTGTTCATTCTGTGAGTGAGATCTCCCTCTATGGGCGGGTTGAGGACATGCGGGACAGACTAGACTACTGACTGTAGTATTTAACCTCTGGACAAAAAATCCTCCGATGACACAAAATGATGTTTTTTGTGTCATTGGAGGATTCTTTCCAGACAAAAAAAGACACAATTCTCTCGTCTCAGGGGGATTTGAGGGTGGAAAGCACGGTTATTTGAAAACACTACAGGTTTTCTACTAATACAAGGCTTAAAGAGCACCTATCATGGATTTTTGAAAATGACTGTTCATGTAGTGTGGACTATAGCTCTAAGGGAATGAAAACATCCTGCAAAGATTTACATCTGAAAGTGCACCGTATATAAATTTATTGTCTTTCAAAAGTGAGAGTCGACTCGGAGTCTATGAAATGAATTGTTTTTGAAACGAGTCATTAGCTGTTTTGTCGTGATACAAAACATTAGCTCATTGGCCGCTCCCAACAACTGCGCGCGCAGACGGAACTTGAAGTCTAGAACACATTCAAATACTTCAGCTGAATCGCATCATGTCAAGAAGACGCTGTGTTCTACATTGCAAAGACAGTTCAGACACTTGTTTTCATTGCCCAGGGACGATCATGTGAAGAATCAGTGGTTAGAGTTCATATTTGCAACGTTTGTTTGTTCATTCACTCTATACAACACTTGACAAGCTATAATCCATTAATGGTGATGGGCGTTCCGTTGCCGACAATCTCTGCCTACGGTTTACCAATAACAACTGACTGGGTCATTTGACCAATCGCCGCAGATTTGCGTCACACAAAGGAGGTGTTTGGGAAAATGAATCGTCGAACGAATCATTTGGGAGTCGTTAAGCAAATCAGGATAAAAATAAATGCGTATTATACGACAAATAAAGTGTTTTTATCCTTGCATGCACGTTAAACTGTTTTTGGGAACTCCCAAAACAAAAATAGGAACCTTTCAAATGCTATGATAAGGGCTCTTTAATGCTAAATCCTGAGGTATCCCTTTAATATTTGTTAAAATATTAATGTTATTTTTTTCAACTGCTTATTATGAAAAGGGAACAGCACGAGTAAGATCGGATATGCAATATATCGGGAGACATTGAGTCAATCAGACAGGATTTTGACCACTTCATTAAGTTTTGTTTAGCAGAAAACCTTTCTTTAAAGTGAATTTCGTTTTGTATAATTTTTTTTCGTCAATAAATTGCCTGTATTTATTTACCTGCGTGGTCACTTGTATTGCATGTGAACTGGAGCATCTCATAAATTAACTGAAATTCATCATAGACCTATGCCTCACAGACATGAGAAATATATCTATAAATATCTTAAAATGTTTTTAAAGGAAACAATTCAAAACGAAAATAAATAGGCTACTCTCTGATGTAATCCATTATGTGCATTCCTCTCTATATAGGCTCATATACGGAGATGGCGATCGTCAACTTCATCTTTGCAGTCGCCACTTACACAGAAAACACTAGTTTATTAATAAAAAAACAAATGCACGTTTGTCACAGAATTTACAGTTGCACATCGTGCTTGTTGCACGCATATTATGTCAAAATAACGAGATATTATGTTAAATTATTAATAAAAATAAATCTTTAAGAATATTTGCTGATGATTTGAATAAACAGGTAACTGGATGATTACTAGCTCCGCGTTTCCACCTGAACTCTTGTCAGTGAGTGCAAGACGAGTGTATTCATACTTTTTCTTTTTTCCAGGTGTTCAGAGCGCTTTCCTGCTGTCTTTGGTGTGTTTCCTCCATTAACTCCAGCTGCTCGTTCTGTCTGCGTGACTCATCCTCGGCCTTCTGCTGCTCTCTGTCACTTTCTACAGCCAGCTTCCTCATGCGGTCCTCCAGCTCCAATATCTTGCGCTGGAGAATAACACAAAGTCAGGTCAGGTCAAGTCACATTAATTTATAGTGCTTCTTACAATACAGATTGTTTCAAAGCAGCTTTACAGAGATAACAGGAAAATAATGTTTCCAGAAGAAATTAGCATCAGTTAGGGCTTGAAAAGTAATCAAAACCGAAATTCAGAGCCTATAACTGACGTAATTTTACCATGTTATTTTATTTTTTTTAATCCTATTAATATTTCCGCCCACTGTGTGTTAATGTACTTTCCCCTTTAAACATATTACCGCGTGTATAGTCACGTGACTCCGCCCCGTCCAGTCTGCAAGCCGCTTGAACCAAAGAAACATGCAGTGTCCGACGTTTGGACAAATTTTGGCTTCAATAAAGACGACAGATGCGAACACTGCAGAAAAACTGTTATAGCAGTGACCAAAGGTAATACCAGCAATCTGTTGTACCGAATATGAACAGTGCATGGCTCAAAAAAAGAGAGAGACTGACAAATGCCCAGTGCCTCCACAAAGCAGGAGTAACACACGCATTTACAAATCCTACACAATATGAAAAGGATGTAAAAAGATGGAAAAAAAATAGTATATTTTACTTTTAAGATGGCAATATTTACAATTTATTTGGTTTACAAAAATAAATATTTTTAAAAGTTCTTTATTTTCTAGATTTTAGGAAAATTTTTACTTTAAAACTTAAATGACTTTTTTATAAGATGTTTTTATTTCAAGCATTGTATGCTTTGTTTGATTCAATTGTTTGAAATATTTAATGAATAAGCCTAAATAATAGCTATCCGTACGTTTCCTTATTCTAGAATCACAAAGATAGGATTATGCACTCTTTCATTAGAAAAAATAACTGCGAACATATTTACAGTATAATCCTTGCCAGTGTCATATGAGAAAAAAAAAATTAAAGTTCAATAATCGCAAATGAGGTAAGTAACTTGTTCGATTAATCGCGATTATGATTTTAGCCAAAATCGTCAGTCAGTTCTCAAAGAATGGTGTCAATTCAGGCAGATCAATATTATTGTTGAAAATTTATGTAAATGTTAAATTTAATGTCAATTAATGTTATTGAATATTAAATGAAATGTTAAATTTAATGTTTAATCAAAGCTCCTTTCTAGACAGACTATTATAGTTAAAGCTGCAGTCCGCAGTTTTTCCTCTTTATCGCCATCTCTGTTCGAAATCTGCAATTGCAGTCATTCGCAGAATTATCAATTTTACGTGGGTTGTACTTCGACACCCTCGACACGGCACAGCGTGGATGAACACAATGTTTGAAGGAGATTGTGAGTCTGTCAGTTACCGCGCCGGTGTAGATACTGCAATTCAGAATCACAGATTATTGTTTTTGGAAGTATGACCAACATAGTAATTTTCACTGGAAAATGTCATCTGAACAAGTAAGAAACATCAACTTTTGTTCTAGTTCTGAATCTAACAATCGCTTACAAGTTATCATATCATGCAAATTATACTTCAAATTGTTAATGTTAACAATGTCAGCATTGCGTGTCTACACTAATGTCCTTCCGATATGTATCCTTGTTTTCGAATTTGTCCAGTTGCAGTCTCTTTTTTGCTGTCACCACTCCGAATCCAAACAAAGTCTTTTGCATTTTACAGCGAGTGAATCAGTCGTCACTGGTGATTGTCGTTTGAACGTTTCTGGGACCGCCATCAAACTGATAAGTTTAATTAGATCAAGTGCTGTGAGAAAAGGCTATAAATCTCCACCTCCAACATCCTCACACGCAATATAGCCTACTAGCCGAGACTCCTTTATGTGTACAGATGTGACGTAATGACGCAAAGACATGCTCAAATCTCACGCGGAAATCCACCAGTACCACTGGAATTAAAAAACATTAGCGTTTGAATCGAGCTAAGGCAAGCAGATAGTTTTGAGCACTTGCTGGTTATGTATTTTCTTAAACATCTATTTTGGTTAATTTTTAACCCAAAAAAGCTACAGACTGCAGCTTTAAACAGCCACTCGCCAAAGGCTACATCCAAACACAGAGTGTCAAACCTGGAGCTCGACGTTTCTGGAGTTTGAGACCCAATAGTTGAAGCCAAGCAAGAAGATGCAGGCGATGAGAGCCACCAACAGCAAAGATGAAGAGCGGCCGCCACGTCGACCGTTCCCAAGTGCACCCATCATGCTTTATTACAGTTCCACAAACACTTAAATGATGGGTTCCTCCTGAAAGGGAAATATAACCTTAGTATAGACATTAATAGCCCCATAAAACAGGATATAACAAACACATATGCAAATAGACCGCATTTTTGGGAATCATAACTTGCCTGCCAAAATACACAACATTTCTGTGACATCTTACCTACTACTTAGGTACCATGTGTTAAACATAGAGGTCACTAATTATCGCTGCAGTTTTCAAGAATATTCCATTTTCATCAACAATGTCAGAATATAGCATGTAATTGGTCATTGAAAGTGAGTTTGTCGTCATGCATATTTCAAAGGCATGAAGATCAATTTCAGAGACTGACTGAATTTTCCAAAACTCACCAAACTTGTTTTAGTATCTAGTTGATTTGATCTATTTAAAGATAATAAATAAATAAATGTAACTTTACCCAAGTAAATAATATTTCACAGCAATGATCAATTGTCAATATCTTATTAATAGTAACAATCGCATTAGAGTCTGTGGTTGAAGATATAATTATTTTCTAGTTATTCTTTCTTTCTTTTCAACTGTTTGCTGGTAGAGTTTTTACTTAACCCTTAGCCTACGGATACAGACATTTCTAAGGGCTCTAAATTATCAAAACTTTCCTGAAAAACCTGTTATACACAATCTAATATAATGCCTTCTGTCGTCTGATTGATAGTTTATATATATTAGCAAGTAAACACCCTTGTTTGTGGTTTACATATCATTTTGCTGCAATAAAGAATAAAGACACATAAAATTACAGTAAGAATAACGTTTATATTTGTTAGTAATAATTATTAATCATTACTAGACTGAAGCAACTTTGGTTTCCTTCATTAATTATTATTAAATATTGAGATGTTTTTCCTCTTTAAGTATGAGAGCCTCAAAAGATTGAAGTATTCCATTTTAAAATAATGATACAAAAAAATATTTCTGGCTATTATTTTGTGTCAGAGGTGTAAGGGGAAAAATAAACCTGAGCAGAGGGAATGTTTACTATTGTTTGTTTGAATGTTATCTTAAATTAAAACTTGTCGTTCGTCAGATAACACCAACACACATCATTTACACTTCTTGGACTTTTCATTTACACAATCAATAAACAAATGCAATACAGAGAACACACAGTGCTCAGGATGTTCTGCCGGACCAAATGCAAACCAAACAGTGTGGTGTAACGTTAGTAACAGAGCAACAAATCATGTCACCATTACCAGACTTTTACAGGAGACAACACTTTACTACTGTACTGCCACTGTCTTTCATATGAAAGAAACCTTTAACTCTACGAATGATTAAATAAAGGAGTATTAGAATATATTCATATTAAACAAGCCACACAAACTGTAAACATATTCAACATGTAAATCCATTTAGTACGAAATTGCTTTTGTTCTGGTAACTTAGCATGCTTGCTAATACAGCTACTGTTATTGTTATAGTTACACTTTCATCTTTTTAACAGATAAATGTTATACATTAGTGTCACAATTACATGTATTGGTGTCAAATTACCCTTTACCGGCGTTTAATGTAAAAGGTCTCGTTGGGAAAAGGGATAAAACATGGACATCTCGATATTCGCTGGAGTCTTTCCGGGATGAAATCACTTAAACTGCAGTGTTTTGCACTGAACCGCAACGCGCACGCGCACTTGATTCGGATTCACTTCTCGTCTTTTCAGGAAACAGTTTCTCTCATCGCTGAATGGTTCTTTGAGGTAGACTTTTGAGCAGACTTTTTTCACTCTTATTATCAATAAATAAAAGCAGGACATGTATTTTCACAATGGAACTTTGTGATTGTCAACAAATTGTCAGCTTTAGACAAAACATATTATATTCTATAAACTGAACTGTATGTTAAAAATTTGACAACATGCCCCAAACCTACATTTATGATAAATCCCCTTTTTGTGAGAACAGTTTTAGCTAAACCTTTGTCTCATGCCAGTGATTGTGCTTGTTGTCTGACTGAAATGATAAAAAAAATGATAATAATGTTAATTTATCATGAAGGACAGAAGTTACAAACATTTTAATCTTAATTTAATTGAGTTAAATTAGTAGGAATTACTTGACTGTGGTTTTTGGACCAAAATGCAAGAGAAAACAAGAATTTGTGTATTTGGACTTTTGACTGAAAACTGTGTGACCCAGTAAACCAGTTAATGAAATACAGAGCTTCACTGTGTGAACTATCAATAGTTTCCCCTTGTTAAATGAAAGGAAAAAAAATAGTCAGAACAGAAGATTTGAAATAAAAAAATGAGTTATTTAAGGCATATTTTCCCCCTTCTTTCAGGATTTTAATATCTCACCCTGTTTGTTTAAATTAACATCATTTAATATACATAAAAACATAGATTTTCAACATCCAACCTGATGTCTTGTTTCAAAGCAACACCCTGAGACTGTCTGGCCCTGCAAAACTGGAAATATTAAAAAAAATTTAACAAACCATACTCCAAAAACTGATTTTCCCATCAAGATTCTTGTGGTGTAGAAATGCGCCTCTCGTCTCATGTGGCCGTGTCATTCATACACTTCATTTCTTATTCTTACTGCTCTTCGGGGCATACAATTTACCGTTTCAATTTCAAAGCATTAACACAAGCTTGAGTCTTTTCACATTTTAATAAAAACATTTGTAGCTCATTACATTATAGTTCAGATTTTGCATTTTTTTTAAAGGAAAAAGGCATGAAATCATAATTCAAAGGCACACAGATGTATAGCTCAGTCAATTCCTGCTCAGAAACGCTTCCTCTCTTTTTCCTCCTTAAAAACAAAGAAATACCAACATTAGTTCAGTTACATTTAAGGCAGTGGCTATGTAACAGGGCAGTAAACACCAGTAGAAACCGATGTATTCAGTAGAAACACAGCAGCGGTTGCCAAAAATTCATAATCAAAAATATGGTGACAATATTTCTGGTATATTGGTGCCTGTATATATTTTAAAACTGTTTATCTACTTGAACAACCACAATCTGCTTTTCATACTAAAATGTACTGATGATAACGACCAAGATAAAACAGATGTAATCAATGTTCATTATAAGCAGCCTGTCCATAAAACAGGGCCAGTACTTTTATATAGACAATCCACCTAAACACGACACACTAAAATGCAATAAACATTAACTAAATAACAGAAAATGTAACACAAAACACACTAATGTAGATTTGCTGAAAACATAAATGAGTAGAAACACAATTATTGAAAATATAATAATCTGTCATGTGTTGTTTTACTGTTCTAAGAATTATTAGTTTTTAATTCCAGAAGCCATACATTTGACAGTATTATAATAAAATTAGATGCATATATGTTGTAAAGTTAAACCATTTACAGTTTTTTCACCATATATGGTATGGTTACTTACAGTTATTGGCAAATTAACAGGTTTTTACTGTAGCATTTACTGTAGAATTTGAGGAAGCGAAACCAGATATATCATTGTAATTCAATTGTGAATTTAAAGTATTGAATTAAATTGAACAAAATTCATGTAGCTGCTATAGTTTAGAATACATTTTATCAGTATATAACCATATCATAAACTAAAATGGTGGAAATTCTGTTGTGTGTATTAAATTATGATATATTTCGACAGTAATGAATCTGAAAAAAATATGCCTAAAATAGAAAACAGAGAAGAAAATAGAAATCAGAGAAGAAATCAAACAAAAGAAATTGTTTATAAAAAATAAAGAAACAATGACCTTTTAATGAATTAAATTAATTAGGACTAATGAGATTCCTCAAGTGGCTTAATTTACTGCAATTTAGTAAGTTCATAGTCAATCCAATTTATAATCACACTGAATTTGGAGGATGGAGCGATTCTTAAAGGGGAACTTGACAACTATTTCAACTTAAAATTAATTTTTGGTAAGTTTTAGCTTACCTCAAGGGCATCCAAGATGTGGGTGTCTTTGTTTCCGCAGTAGTTTCAATTTTAATATTTTTAGGTCAAACTGTTCTTGTCTGTCAGTCATATAATGCATATCTATGGTCACCACCTCAAAGAGGATGCACAGAGAAGTCCAAATTAAACATGATTTAATGACTCTTAAATGTAAGAACACATTAATGGCCTAAGACACGAAACGAACAGTATTTATATCGTTTTTACCTCATATAACCACAGCCAAGTACTCTGAGGGCGCGGGCGCTTTATGGCTGTGGAATTATACTATAATTATAATTATTAACACTGTTCGTTTTCTCTTCGGTGTCTTAGGTGTCTTCAATGTGTACTTACATTTACGAGTCATTAAATCATGTTTAATTTGGACTTCTCTGTGCATGCTCTTTGTGGTGGTGACCATCGGATCATTTCCAATGACATGCGGATCCAATTGCACTGATGCACATCCGATACACTCACAACTGTTTAAGACATAACCGACATTTACACGAATACTGTCCAAAACGGACATTTAGACATAATGTTGAGTGTATTTGTCCATTCAGACACTAAAGAGAGCTCAGTTCAGTCCTCGCATGCTTTATATGTGTTTGTGCATAGCTGCACACTTCGGCTTAGGTGTATGTATGCACACAGAAAACCGTACCGAATAGGCTCTATGCACCATAGATATCTACAGTATATAAAGGCTAGATGTCTTAAAGCGGAGTTTCTATCGTCATCACCGGCGGCCATCTTGTCACAGGTAAGCTGATGTAAGATGAGTGGTCACCACGAACACAAATACTCTTATCTCATTGAAATCTTGACGGATTTGGTTTCTTACAAACGTTATTAACGTGGCTATAATTATCTGGACGATTATTTATTTATACACTTATTATTCATAAGTACGCTGTGTCATAACTACATCTCTGATGATTATAACAAACCAAACCGTTTGAAAATCGGTAGAAAATTGAGCAAGTTATGGTTATTTTAATAGTACATGTACCATTAACACAATGTAACAATGAGTGAGCGAGCTGCCTGTGACAAGATGGCCGCCAGGTGCAGACGTTGACCTCCATTGGCCAGCCGCGTGGACGAGATATCTAGCCTTTATATAGATATCTATGCTATGCACAACTTGTAAAACAGATCGCATGGCTTCCGGTTCAGGTCTTTTGTATGTGCTTCATGAATTTTTTTGCGGTTTTACTCAAGATAACTTAAAAGGAGCGAGCAAAGATTAGCGTAACCAATGTCCCTCACATGTGCAGATTGATATTTAAACGTTTTATATTTTTTCTTCTTCACAGTAACGTTTACATATTTAAATGGAATAAAACGCCAATAACAAAGTGAACTAGGTAGGTTAGCTGATTACCTTAAAAATCCATAGATTTCACACTTTCTCTGACAAGCGGATGCGATGAGACCTGTTTTCCGGTTTGGTCACGTGACGCTCGGCATAAAGCCTATAGAGCTCTTTTTCATATCTACATGTCTGCTCTAATCATTCTCCCAGACGTTCACATTTTTTAATGGTAGATCAGCACGTTACAGTACAAATGTGGGCATCGACCACAGACATAGGACATCAGTTCTGACTGGATCGCTTCCCAAATCGTCACTATCTAACATTTTCATTTTATTCGTTGACGAAAATGTCTATAGATTTTTATCATAGATTTTGTCATTCAAAACTAGTTTTTATTTAGTTATCGTCTCGTTTTCGTCTATGAAAAAATTTCGTTGACGAATAATTTTCGTCGACGAAATTAACACTGAAACACACACGGCATATGATACTGTGCATGATGTATTACCCACTTCAGTACACATAGCTCCACACGATAAAGTTGGCCGGCTCCGATAATAACAGATGCACATGAGCAGCGGTTGAAAGGGGGAGGAGGGCGCCGCAAGTGAGTTTATTTTACAACAGTGTAGTGAATTATACGGCCCACAGCTGTAGGGGGAGCTCGTTGCGAAAACATGCGACGTCAAAAGGGAAAATCCGCGAGAGTTGCCACGTTCCCCTTTAAATTCTGCAAAAAACCTACCGTGCAAATATGCATAATTCAGGTTCACCAGACAAGCACTAAGCTTTGTCCAACAGTAAAAGCACTTCTGTAATCCAGGAAAAGCTTTAATCCATGTCTGGAAAAGCTGCCAATAAGGTCTCAGACAGCTCCACAGCTTTGCTTTTACCTTCACAACGTTGCCCAGCTCAGCCAGTGTTTGCTCATAGCGAGCCTCCATGCCTTTAAGACTTTCTGGTTGCACAAGCTGCCTCTTTATGCCAGGACTGCCAGCATCTGACACCATCTTCAAAAACCTCGCTTCCTGAAACATGAACAAATGGTACAATTTACGTGACACTCAGTTCAACTTTTCACAGTCACTCATTTATTTATCTAGTGTTGGCAAATAGTTTACTGCTCATAATAAACTTTGATAATTGATTGAAACAACAGGGATGGGACGATAACCGGTTTCACGATAAACCGTGATAAAATGTACTGACGGTTAGTATTATCGTTTAAAATGTAATTATCATTAAAACCGTGTTTGATTATCGCGATTTTAATAACTCACTGAATCCTGTCGGCCAGTCTGACGCAGGCACGCAGCACGCGATATTTTTTTAAATTACTCTTTGAGAAGGAATGGTGGAAGGCAGTGCCCGTGCTCAGGAGATTTTTCAGCCTTTTAAGAGGACCAAATCTGAGGTGTGGTCATATTTTGGGTTTTACATAAGTTATCACTGTGAAGCTGCTTTGATACAATCTGTATTGTGAAAAGCGCTATATAAATAAATGTGACTTGACTTGACTTGACAAAAGTCCTGAGGGAAACTTGATCGAGGATGGTCACCCTGTCTGCCGAACAAAAAGTCACTGCAATAGAAACACTTCAAATCTGCCGAGTCGTCTTGTGTGATCATCACCCGAACTCAAGGCAAGTTAACTTTGACCGTAATACCAAAACTACGGCTGGGAAACAATTGGGCACGAAATGTTGTTTTGAGTTGAAACATTTTATGTCACTCACTTGAAATAGACGTGAAGCTTCCGCGAAGAAAAGTCCGTAGCAAGTGGATTTTAGCTAAAGACGAACAAACAACTTCAAACAAGACTATTATTAAGAGTGATATTTTAAGGGATAGTAAAGTATAGATACATCACGTATTAAACCGATTTTATTTTTACCACATAATTACGGGAACATATTGAATTGATAATGAGATTAGCTAATGTTTTAAATCTTACCTGTTTATGAATTCATTTTGTAAAACAATCGTCCAGACAAGAAATATCACACCAATATTATCAAACTCTGTAAGCAATAAATCAACTCTGATTTCATTTTTGCAATACAATCAAAAACCGGAGATGCAAGACGGCAAGTTGTATTTGAATGAAACAAGAGCATGCGTCCGTTGTGATATGGATGTGCGCTGTGTAATAATGCGTTGCTATTGACGACGGGCATTATAAAGAAGCAAATGCCATAGAATAGAATCTTGCTTAAAAAACTGCATAGAGAGGCTTGTTTTATTTGTTGTTTGTTGATTTTCAATTATAAAACTTGTTCATAAAAAAATCAGTTCTTTTTGAGCACTTTCATAAATTTTTAACAAAACCGTGATAATATTGATAATCACGATTATTTTGGACACTATAATCGTGATATGTAATTTTCATACCGTCCCATCCCTACAACAAACACAACTAAATCACAATGGCTAGATTTCATTCCAGTTATGAGGAAAACCTGACCTGCACTTTTAAAAGGAAGGTGAACGCCGACCCAGCTTTCCCTGCTCTCGCTGTTCTGCCCACCCTGCAAGTGGAAATGCGGTAAAGATACATTGATGGATATGGAAATCATAATTCTTCGATCAAATAAATGGGTTTTTGTAGTAATATTTTGACTTGCCTGTGGATGTATGTTCGGATGTATTGAGGAGCATCATAATTAATGACACATTTTACGCTGTTGATATCAATACCCCTGGCAGCAGCATCTGTGCTTATCAACCTGACGTGAAAAACATCACCGATATTTCATCATTACAGTCACACTAAATATATTTATGTATACACAGTTTGGGTAAGTTACTCTAAAAAATTATTTATCGCTAGTGTAATTAGCTCAACAATGTAATTACATTAACTACTATCTCTAAAAAGTATCGCATTACTTCCCACATCAACCTCGACCACACTGTAAAAATGAATATGCTTTATCTAATCAATAGAATAGTGGCAACAGATTAGAAGCAATATTATTAATTAAATTTAACAAATTAGAATTGAGTAATAATTAATCCAATTTTTCCTTAAAAGTTAACCATTTAAAACCATTTACACCAAAAAATTTAACAAAAATATCTCACTAACAGACAGACGTCAAAGATTAATTAAGAACTCTTTATTTTATATTGCCTACATTGAAGACACCTGATGTTAACAAGCAGAATCACTGAAGGAGAAACCGTAACTTTAAAACAAACACTGATCACCATAATGGTGACTTCAATTTATGTTTTTTGGTTGTTGTTGTACAGTACGTTTTACTCATTTTAAATGGTTAACTTTCAAGGAATTAATTTGATTAATTATTACTCAATTCTAATTTGTTCAATTTAATTAATAATATTGCTTGTAATCTGTTGCCACAACATTGATAATAATAAGAAGTGATTATTAGAATGATTTCTGAAGGATCATTCTGAAGGCTGATGAAAATTCAGCTTTGCCATCACAGAATACATTTTAAAGTATATTACAAAAATTGTACAAAATATATTACTCTTTTAAAAATATTTTACTGTATTTTTGATCAAATAAATGCAGCCTTGGTGAGATCAAGAGACTACTTTTAAAAAAACGTAATATTTCCAAACTTTTGACCAGTACTATAACTATAATTCAATTACAGAAATAAAATAATCCCTTACTTTACTCTTTCGAAGGGAAAAAAAAATTAAACGCTAATTATTTACTTGGCAATGCATGCAACTCTGTGTCTAAATATGGGCTTTAAAGGAGTAGTTCACTTTAAAAAAAAAAACTTTTGCTGATAATTTACTCCATCCAAGATGTCCGCGTATTTCTTTTATTCAGTCGAAAAGAAATTAAGGTTTTTGATGAAAACATTCCAGGATTTTCTCCATATAATGGACTTTAATGGGAACCAAATGTTTCAAGGTCCAAATGAGAGTTTCAGTGCAGCTTCAAACGACACCAGACGATGAATAAGGGTCTTATCTAGGACCCTTCGAGTCATAACTCGAAAAAAGATTTGTTCATTTTGATTAACGAGTTCGAACAGGAGAGTCACGAACGTGCATCACAGAACAGAGCAAGGTGAGCATTTGTGCTTATAAAACTTAAACTTTTTAATTTATTTTTGAAATGACCGATTGTTTCGCTAGATAAGACCCTTATTCATCGTCTGGTGTCGTTTGAAACTCTCATTTGGACCTTGAACCGTTTGGTTCCCATTGTCCCATTGAAGTCCATTATATGGAGAAAATCCTGGAATGTTTTCATCAAAAACCTTAATTTCTTTTCTACTGAAGAAAGAAAGACATGGACATCTTGGATGACATGGGGGTGAGTAAAATATCACCAGCAAATTTTTAGCAAAAAACTACTCTTAACTTTACTTTTAACATCGTCCGCATTATTTTTGAACATTATTAAGGAATACGTACAGTGGGATCTTCCCTTGCTCAAAGTCTTTCAGTGTTTTTTGTCGTTCACTTGGGCTCAAACGAGAGGAAAACTCAGCCACTTCCACACCGCCAAACAGCTTCACCAGCAAATAAAGTCTAGTTAGACAAAAAGACAGAAATTGAACAGACAGCTGATCATAGCTAAAACTCATAACATATTTGTTACTTCCTATGTAAATCTGATTGTGTATACCATCTGGGTGGTTATTTTGCCTTGATGTGGATGACTTTGCATCCTTGTGACTCATTCATGATAAATAATACACATGGATATTAAAAGGAATTATCTCTGGGCTCTTCTAGGCTATTAAAATGTCTATGAAGCCGCTGGCTTCTAAAATTAAACATTTAGGAGCCAAATGACTTTTAGTCTCCAAATCTTCCATGTTCGTCATAACAGGGCTGCTCCAAAGTTTTTTTTTATAATCAAAAGTATAATGAAATGAATAAATAAAATTAATACTTATATACATACCAGATCTAAAATGTTCTATTACAGATTCTTTTTAACTTTAATCTGCGAGTTTAAAATACATATTTAAAGAAATGTTTTCCATATTAAATTAATTTATGAAAAAAAATTATATGTATATACCCATAAATTATGTATTTACTACCTAAGTTTTTTTTTTTTTTTTTTAGAAACTACTTGTATTTGGCAAGGAACAAAAACAAAAGAAACAAAAATTAAAATATTAGAAAAAAAATATTAGAATTATTTCTGAAGGATCATGTGACAAGTAATGATGTTAAAAATTCAGCTTTACATCACATAAATAAGCCACATTTTGAAATACATTAAAATAGATATTTTAAATCGTAGTAATAGTTTAATATTTATCTATCAATATATTTAAAACTGTAATAATATTTCACAATATTTACAATACTCATTTTTACTATATATTTTTAATGTGCATAAAATACTTTTTATTTTAAAAAATCTTACCGACCCTATAATTTGATTTAAAGTGTGTGTGTATATATATATATATATATATATATAAATCACAATAAAACATATACTGTATGCATATTGCAGAATAAGCAACTTTATTTATCAACATATAGTATTACTCTAAGATAATTAATGTCATGTAATTAATGTCACGTAGGCACATCAATAAACACTTTTAACTAATGATGTAAACAAATTGCTAAATTGATTCAGTTAAATGGACTGATTGAAAAGATTGCTTTGTGAAAATGAATCCGATTTTCAGTTCAATTTCCAGTGGCGACTAGATTTCTATTCATTGTTGCGAGTGTTTGTTTTTGTAGTTTTCAACTATTTTAGTCAGGGTATAAATACATAGTCCTATATCTGCATCGTGCTGCAGCTTAAAATGATCCATCATTACCGGTGGGCTCCTTCTCTGGAGTTTGTGAAGCACAAAGCAGGACTGAACTTGAGCCGAAGCAGGAAGTGAAGGATGAGGAGCGGTTTGTTGCTCAGGGTGCAGGAGACGTAATACTCCTGCATTAGACATTCACATATGTTAAAGGTGTGCACAGGAGAACTGTTCCAGTGTAGATCATATGGCTCAGGAAACGTTGTTAAACTCACAGAGAGGCCCTGAGGGAAGTTAAACGTGTCCTGGGTCTCTGAACAGGAGTGTGTGGAGCTGAAGAGTCGAGGCTGGTGCAGGTCCAGCAGTTGTAGTTTCTCAGGGTTTTGTGTGAGAGTGGCTGAAAACAGCAACTTCTGCAGAGGAATCTGTGGCGGAGACAAACTTACATACATACAAACAAACATTGAGCTTTACACTGCATGTTTGAGACTAACACACACAATTTTGTGAGACTACGGTGGGTGGACCTCGACTGCGACATTATTATTATTATTATGAATATTATTATTCCTCAGACAGTTATATTATACAGTTAAATGTATATAAAAATAAATTTCATAATAAGTATATTATTTATTAGTTTACTAAGGTAAAATTACAATACTGTCTTAATTTCTTCACTTCCAATCTTTTATTTTGGTTAAAAACAGCAGGTAGACCTTTAAGCTTGAAATATGAAAACAGGTTTATAAACGGTAATCTAGTGAAATGCTGCAATCACATGAACAGGGGGTCGCTAGGTTGGCTTATAGTGTGGGTGGGGTTGAAAATCTTTGTTTTAAATAATGGACAAAGCAGTTGACATCCTACCTTGCAACTGTGATTGGTCCAGGCACTATTCTCCTGAAGAAAGACGTCTGTGTGTCACCTGGGCTTCTGTACACTGCTTTAGTCACTTGATTGAGCCAGAACTGATGCATGCTGTCAATCATCCTGTCTGCCTCGTCAATAATCTACAACATACACATTATTATAAACATACCTTCTATATAGGAAATAAGAGAATACCATGATAGAGAAAAGTGAAAAACAAAATAATATGTTAAAGGAGTAGTTCATGTCATCCAAGATGTCCACGTCTTTCTTTCTTCAGTCGAAAAGAAATTAAGGTTTTTGATGAAAACATTCCAGGATTTTCTCCATATAATGGATTTCATTGGGAACCAAACGGTTCAAGGTCCAAATGAGAGTTTCAGTGCAGCTTCAAATGGCTTGAAACGCCACCAGACTATGAATAAGGGTCTAATCTAGGACCCTTCGCGTCATGACTCGAAAAAAGATTTGTTCATTTTGATGAACGAGTTTGAACAGGAGAGTCACGAATGTGCATCACAGAACAGAGCAAGCCGAGCATTTATGATTATAAAACTTAAACTTTTTTATTTAGTTTTGAAATGACCGCTCGTTTCGCTAGATAAGACCCTTATTCATCGTCTGGTGTTGTTTAAAGTCCTTTGAAGCTGCAGTGAAACTTTCATTTAGACCTTGAACGGTTTGGTTCCCATTGAAGTCCATTATATGGTGAAAATCCTTGAATGTTTTCATCAAAAACCTTAATTTCTTTTCAACTGAAGAAAGAAAGACGTGGACATCTTGGATAACATGGGGGTAAGTAAATTATCAGCAAATGTTTTTTTAAAAAAGTGAACTACTCCTTTAAGGACTTTCTCTGTAGCTGTGGATAAATTTGCTCCTATTGTCAGTGGGGTCCTTCAGGGCTCCATTCTAGCGCCGACTCTCTTTAATCTGTATATGCGTCCCCTCGGAAATATCATCAGGAAACACAATATTTCCTTTCATTTGTATGCTGCTGAAAAGTCTAGTGATCTTTGCTGGACTTTCTTGATATAAAAAGAGCTAATGATCTTGGTTCTCCTTAATCTAGATGTGGTCTTGTCAATAATCTTGGTTATCATTTTCCATTTATTAAGTCTTTTCCATTTATTAAGTAACACATCTGTGTTATTCTTGACTTTTTGATTAGTCAAACAAATTGACTATTTGTTAAAAAAAAAGATTTGTTTGTATCATTTGTACATTTCTAAACTTCGTTCTTAAACATTGTTTTTGTCCTTTTAGGATTTGGAGAAAGTTATTTACACTTTTATTACATTGCAATTTGACTATTATAATTCCCTCTACTTCTTTTCCTTCCTCAATTCTTACTGTAATTCCTCAATCCTCATAGTTTAATAGTTTTCCAAGTATTGAAAAGTAATGTACTGTATATAAGTTCATTTAGTGTAACATTTATGAGTATAATAGCATTTAGATAACCTCAAAGCTAAGATAAATGAATAAAACTCAACAAGACTCTCATTTTGATCTTTAAACTAATTGTGTTTATTGCTTAAGTTTTCTCTTCATAGGATTTCACTGAACATTGTTCCAGATTTAGATGTAGATTTGTGCTGATGCTCACCAGGAATCGTAGGTGTTGTAGACTGAAGTTGTTGTTTTTATTGATGTGATCCACCAGTCGGCCCGGTGTGGCAACGACGATATCTGCCAAACTGTGGCTAACGCCTCCCCTACACAAACACACAAAGGTTCATCTCTTGGAGATTACTGAATTTATTACTTATAGTTCATTAAGTTTCAAGTTTTTTCACATATTCAAAGCATCTACTTTTATCCTACTCCATGAGTAGAGCTGCACGATTAATCGCTAAAAAGATCCCAATCTCGAACCAAGCACCTACACGAGCTCATTCGTAAATGACAACGTTAAACCTTTGACAAAATCACATCGGAACATTAACGTTCAGATGTAAACACTGATGAAGAAATCAAAATAGAGCAAATAACCTTTTGAAAATAACTTGGCGCTTTAAATAATGATTGAATCGATTACATCATTACAAAACTAGGCGGCGAGTCGACAAGTGACTGTTAAAACACGTATTTGTCATTGAATCATTCATTCAAGAATCAAGAGACTCGTTCAGAGACGCTGATTCATCCATTTATGAAAAAAAAAATGATGATGAATGATGAAAAATAAGTATTTATGAGTGAATTTAAATAGAATTTTGTCAGAACCTCTAGTAAATTACATGTTATTTGTATAGTTGTCTGTTCAGAATCGGGATCTCTATTTGAAACAAAAAATTGTGATTCACAATTTATCCAAAATCGTGCAACTCTATCCATGAGCCTTCAAACACACTCACCTGTTTTCAGAGAGCATCGCTTCCTCTGCAGCAAATGATTTCTGGCCTGCGATCATGACCACCTTTAGACTGCTGCCCTCAGTGTACGAGCTAAACACCTTTGACACCTGTGGGGTTGAAATCAAGGATGAACAATGAAACAGGCAGATTTGTAGATTAAGTGGATATGTAGATAATTAATTAATAAATAATCATTACCTGTTGTGCTAACTCCTTAGTGGGCAGTACAGCGAGTGCGCGGATCTCTCGCACCACACGCTTGGACAATGCCTGCGTTAGCAAACACATATATATCTAATAACTTAATCTAGTTCTTTACTTTAATCTGTTTACTATAAATCTTTGGCCTTTTTCCACTTTTATATTCATAGTCTGTGTCATATAGAAATAGAAATACTACTGGTCAAAAATCTGAAATACTTTAAAACATTTTAATGTTTTTGAAAGAAGTCTCTATGCTCACCAAGGCTACATTTAATTGATCAAAAATAGGGATGCACTTTATTTTATGGTACGTGCACTTTCAATGTACTTACAGTGTACATACATACCCAGAAAAGTACTGAGTAATGCAAGTTAACCTACATAGGTTAGGTTCAGATTTAGAGGTAGGTTCAGGGTTTTTACCCAGTTAGTGTGATTACTACAATAAGTAAGTACATAGCAAAACATACTTGAACATAAAGTGCTACCAAACTTTAAATAAAGTGCTACCAAAAATACTATTGTGAAATATTATTACAATTTAAAATAATTGCTTTCTGTCTTAATGTAAAATGTAAATAAAATGCAAAGCTGATTATTTAAAAGCCATTTAAGACCTTATTCCTATTTTGAATAAATATTGTTCAAAAATGATTAAGCAGCTTAACTTTTTTCAACATTGATAATAATGTTTCGTGAGTGCAAAATCAGCATATTAGACGTTAAGGACTCGAGTAATGATGCTGAAAATTCTGCTTTGATCCCAGGAATAAAATGTTTATTTTTAATAATAAATAGAAAATAGTTATTTTACATTTCCTTAATATTTCAGAATATTAAAGTTTTACTGTATTTTTTTACATTTATCTGCATTTATCACATAAATGCCTTGGTAAGTTTAACAGACATATTTATTTTTTTAACTTGATAGAAAATGTATGTTGTTTATTTTAATATTTAAGCATGAATAATAATAATAATAATAATAATTATTATTATTATTATTATGTTCTAGGGAGGTTTCATGACAAAAACCAAAACAATCAGGAAATGCCATGAGCTAGATTCGAACTTGCATCATCCAAATTTGACATTTACATATAATCATTTAACAGGAAAACAATAGAAGCAGTTAAACCAACAAAAGGGAAACAATTTGTAAGTGCTGTGACAAGTCCTAATTAGTCTAAAGATAAAAAAAAAATAGATAGAACAGAAATAGAATAGAAAGTATTAGTATTAATGGGTCAAGTGTTGGCAAAAAAAGATGCATCTTTAGCTGTTTCTTGAGAAATGCTAGGGTTGAGTTTGGCAGGTCATTCTACAAGCAGGAAACAGACTCCACGGCTCAATTTGTCAGAGCACATGCGCTGACCACTAAGTCACAGGTTCAATGCCAATACTTTAGGCCGTGTGTCCACCAAAGCGTTTTTCCACGCGCCTGGCGTATGTTTTCAATTGTTTTCAATGGGAGCGCCATGAGCGTACCGAGGCGCTGAGCGTTTTTTTTTTCACGCTGAAGCGCCGAGCGTTTTTACTGGTCGCTGGGAGTTGAAAAATTTTCAACTTTGGATAAAATGCAGCGCTCATCACTGTCACTTTTTACCCAGCCGTCCAATCACAGTGAAGGAGGGGTGGGACTAATACCACACCGACCAACTGTCAACATTCAAACTGCTGCGGATATTCTGTATCATAGCAACGAAACGTCTCAACGGAAAAAACGCTGCGCTGCCAAAATGCTCTCAAGCGCCCAAAGCACGGCATCTTCAGCAGAGCGTCTAGCGTGTCCTTTGGTGGACACACGGCTTTAGAGAGAGAAATAATAATACTGTGGCGAGCAGGACGAGGCCGAGGGACGTGAGAGATACGAGACTGGTGTGTCTCACAGGTGTCGTTCATTATCACTCACGCCACCAGCCTTGCGCCGCTCTCGCCACAAATACAATGGAATGTAATTCATTGTTTGCACCTGTACAACAGGTATGACGAACGCCAATGTCTTCCCACTCCCTGTAGGTGCAGAAACACAGATGTCTCTGGGCTTGTAGCCCCCAGGACCCAGCAGCAGCCCTGAGCTCACGCTGTCCAGAATGGCAGGGATGACCTCGGCTTGAACTGAAACACAGCACAGCGTAGCGTCAGCAAGGTCATGGCTTCTTGTGAACATTCAATGTTTTTTTTGCCTTGCCTGCAGATTACTGAGGTTATCATAAAAAGAGCACAGACTACACTCACCTAAAGGCTTATTAGGAACACCACACTAATACTGCGTTTGACCCCCTTTCGCCTTCAGAACTGCCTTAATTCTACGTGGCATTGATTCAACAAGGTGCTGAAAGGATTCTTTAGAAATGTTGGCCCATATTGATTAGATAACATCTTGCAGTTGACGGAGATTTGTGGGATGCACATCCAGGGCACGAAGCTCCCGTTCCACCACATCCCAAAGATGATCTATTGGGTTGAGATCTGGTGACTGTGGGGGCCATTTTAGTACAGTGAACTAATTGTCATGTTCAAGAAACCAATTTGAAATGATTCGAGCTTTGTGACATGGTGCATTATCCTGCTGGAAGTAGCCATCAGAGGATGGGTACATGGTGGCCATAAAGGGATGGACATGGTCAGAAACAATGCTCAATTTTAAACGATGCCCAATTGGCACTAAGGGGCCTAAAGTGTAGGGCTGCAACTAACGATTATTTTGATAATCGATTAATCGGACGATTATTTTTTCGATTAATCGATTAATCGGATAAAAAAAATTATATTCCATTTTTTTGTTTATTATAACAAAATAAAACCCTAAAAAACCACACTCTTTTGTGTGTTAAACAATCTACTTAATACAGACAACTTCATTATAAAGAAAAACAACAAATAAAAAAAATATATATGACCATAACCTATGACAAAAATGCTATTGTAAACTAGATTAGTGGATAACTCAGCAAAACTTAGCCAAGAAATATCCCAAGTGCACAATAATTTTATAAAATCTGAACATTTAGTGAAAAAAACATTCCTTAGTGGGGAACAAATAAGAGACAATAAGTGTAGCACTAACTCTGGTAAAACGTACACATTGCTCTTTGTATTGTTGTTATGAAAAACATCGGAAAAATCAGATGCACAACTGTTTTAAATGTAAAGCACAGCTGTTTAGTGAGGAAGCAAAATATAATAGATAGGACAGAACAAGAAAGGCTATTAATAAGCTTTCATTGCGCAAAAGTATTATGACATGATCATGAAAGAGCTGCACAAAGTGCTTATGGGCATCGCGAGCGCTGAATGATGCGCTTGAAGCAACACGGAGTCACAGGGCGGCGCGCAGCTCTTCAGTGTCCGCCGCATTAAAGTTAAAAGCACCAAGGAAAGGGAAAACATATTGACTGTGTATTATACAGTATCTATGCAATAGTTTATTAAGCCTTTTCTTTTAACAGTTTTAAATTTCAGTTAGGCTACGCACGTGAAGAACAATTATACTGCGCCGACTCTAATAGTGTTGTGATCTAACAGACACTCAGTAGAAAGTGATTAAGTTACAGCAATAAAAGTCTAGCAAGATAGAAAAACCATCATAGACCTTTATCTACGGATCAATTATAATAATAACATTGAATCATTGGAAAGAGATCATCATGTAAACTGTTGTAACGCGACGCGCTGTTTGAACACCGAATAGAAAATGACTGACAGCCGCAGTGGAGGGAAAAGCTTAGGTTAACTTGAATTTAGTGACTTAAATATACATTTCTATCTCACATTATACTATAGTATAGAGTATACACGATTAACGTAGGTCACCTATTTTGGTTTCAAAACGGCGAATTTGCCGAAAGGTGAATGATTTTCGTGTATGCTGCATATTGATAGCGGTTTCCTGACGCCCGCAAATTAGTTCAAACTCACGGAATCAAGAGCGCGCATGCGAGACAGAAGATAATGTGCTCCAAACCGTCCGTGTTGCGCGCGCGAGACAGGGTAGAGCGGCGACGGAGAGAGACTGCATGTGCGCCTCATGAAGCGCATGTAAGAAGCGCATGTTCCATGTAAACAATCCCCGTGACGTAATCAGACCAACTAATCGATAATGACATTCGTTGACAACGATTTTCATAATCGATTATAATCGATTTTATCGATTAGTTGTTGCAGCCCTACTAAAGTGTGCCAAGAAAACATCCCCCACACCATTAAACCACCACCACCAGCCTGCACAGTGGTAACAAGGCATGATGGATCCATGTTCTCATTCTGTTTACGCCAAATTCTGACTCTGTCTCAACAGAAATCGAGACTCATCAGACCAGGCAACATTTTTCCAGCGTTCAACTGTCCAATTTTGGTGAGCTGCTCTTTGCAAATTGTAGCCTCTTTTTCCTATTTGTAGTGGAGATGAGTGGTACCCGGTGGGCAGTGGCGGCTGGTGAAAATTATAGTAGGGGGGTCTGAATAAGAGGGGGGTCTGGGGTTTCCCCCCCAGAAAATTTTGAATTTAGTAGATGTGATTTCCTGCATTCTGGTGCATTTTAGGCCTTAGGCCATGCCCTTACCTATACCAATAAAATAACTTAAACCAGTCAATACCAATGGTCAAATAATACAATAATAATAATAACAGTTTGACAGTTAATGATAATGAACAAGTTGAATGTTTATTATGCTCTGTGTGCTGACAGAAAAAGTGCAAACGCATAATATTGATAAATTATAATATAGGTAATACAAAAAATAATAAGTAATACAACAATCTAGTTTAATCAATCCCCAGCTGTAGACTATATATTTTTGACAATTGGATAATGGATAACAATGTGTTGATACTAGAGAAAGAGAGAGAGAAAAGGCTCTGAAAAAGAGGGTGGGACAACGTTCTTGATTGTAACACCCAAGTATGAGAAGAAAGTTGATTTTAACTAGTATTAAACACAGTAATCTAGCTCAGAACTTAAAAACATCAGAAACAAAGCAAACACACAGGTATTAATATTCCTATAACTATTTTAATATTTAAAATGTGTGTGAAACAGTGTTTATGTGTGTGTGAGTGAGTGAGTGACAGAGACAGACAGATCAATTCCCACGACTAACTTTACATTATTTCCACTCGACGTCACTGGCGCTGCCATTCTGCTCTCATCTGAGGTAAAAAAATGTCCCGTGGTGCGCGTGCACGGTGCACTCCCCTAATCTGATACTGTGGGCGATATTTTCAGCGCCCCCAAACCATAAAATTTGACTGCGCTGATTGGCGAAATATAAACTTTTTTGCATAGCAACCGGGGAACCATTGGCTTAAATTCCAGCACTGTGGGGCTGAGCGAACTGGCGCCCTGAGAAGACAGCCTATTGGCTATACTACACCAACATGATAAAAGTAACGAAAGTGAATGCAAATATCCTTCTGGTGAGTTCAAAACACTTTTAAAAGTAAAACCATTATTAGCATATAATTAACACAGATTATTTTTCAAAATGATAAATTATAATATATATTAAAAAAACAGACAAACAGGTTGGAGGGAGGGCGGCGCCCCAGCGCCCTCTATGGGCGAGCCGCCCCTGCGGTGGGGTCTTTTGCTGTTGTAGCCCATCCGCCTCAAGGCTGTGTGTTCCTAATAATCGTTTAGGTGAGTGTATTTTGTAGTGATTGGCTTAACGGGAGTTAAATACTCTTTCGTGTTTTTAATGCGCCATGTCAAGTTTAAATAACTATTTTAAAGAGCCTGTCTAAAGATGCAACCGTTTATCCCCCGTTTAATTTTGTGCTCTTTTTAGAGTGATCTAGAGTGACTTTCATGATCATGTTGTCATGATCGATCGGTGTTACATTCCTCGTCCACATTCCTGGTACTATCAATTTGGATTATACGTAGCTAGTGTTATGTTATAATGCTTAAAGTCCTGTGGTGAAAAGCAAACTTTTAATGTTGTTCATATGTCTATGTGGTGTTTTTAATATGATTTAAGACAAACCATGTGCAAATTAATAAGCCGACACCATTGCTGAGTATTTTCTCTTTAAAACTGCAGTGAACCAGACAGTCTCAAAAACGCGATTTAAAATCGCTGGTGTTTCTGACATCACAAACTATCTTTTAACCAATCATGTCGACGAGTGGATGTCTGAGCTGGTGTGAGTGAGTAGAGGTGGGACTAATTTGCATATTCATAGAACAGAGTATACTAAATGAAGCAAGGGTGGCGAGTTCAAGCTATTTTAAGGCATGATGAATGTTTTTTCATGAAAAAAACGTTTACATATGTCAATTTGGTGAACAAAATATGAGTTTTAAGGGACAAAATTATTTAGACTACAGGGGAACTTTAATATTTGAAACAACCCAATACATTATTTAACTGTGACCGTCCCGGTACCGGGACGCCTAACTTTACTTCACTATATTTCTATTAAAACCTAATCTAATTATGACAAATTATATATCGTTGGAAAGGTCTAAGACTTCTAAATAGATATTCTACACCTGTTTTGTGTTAAAAGAGTAATTGATGAATTTATGACAAGAGTGCACCTCAAAAAATCTGCATCATAACAGGAGTTTTGACCTTTGTCACAAAAAGTCGATGCACCCCCTTTTAATTATTGAAACTTCTGTTTTTATGCTAAAAGTTCATATTAAAACATATAATCTAGTATTTTTCAATAAAAAATAAAAAATGATAGTATAATACTATCCTCTAAAAATTATAATATTTACATTTATTATCCTCTAAAATATAATATTATTTTTTATCGCCTTTTTTATTATATCACATATTTTAGTAGTTATCATGAATTAGGTATCATTTGAAAACGTATAAACCCAGAATTCATCGTGTTAAAACTGTTTTATAATTGAACGTTGCGTTACCATAGAAACGGTATTTATTTTATCAGGCTCCTCCCCTTTTGGTGTCATTATATTTCATAATTTATGATCAAAACCTTTTCTAATCTTGACAAAACTGATATTGTCAGAAAGGTCTGAGTCTCAAGGTTCCAAATTTTGTGACAGAATTGATAAAACAAAATCTCATGGGAACTTCAATTTTTGTGATATCAACTTCAAATTTGGAACATAACTTGATAATATTTATGGCTTTGATTTTATAGAAATTTTAGAAAAATATTTTTAAAAATATTTTGTAAAATATATATTTTATATAAAATAAAAAATATATAGTACAGTATATTTGATTTACTGCAAGTTTAAACTTCCATAACTTTTTCATACTTTCATTTTTTGAAGTGTTTTCACTTCAGCAATATTCTGCTGAGTGTTTTCTTTAAAACAAGACCAAACTTGGGTATATATTCCAAAGCATTCTTAAATTACAACCATTTAAGTTTGAATAGTGCATTTTAACCCCCATTCTCAAAAAGGGGGGTGACAGTTATGGGGTTAAACTTAGCTTTGTGGATTTAAGACATGTAGGAGGTTATCCTAACTTTAAGATGTTATTCACCAAGATTTTTAAGAACTTTCTTTTCAGGAACATAAATACTTGAACAATCTTAAATAAAAGCCTAAATTCAATCTGTTCATCATATAAAGCGATTGAGTCTCTTCAGAAAATGTGGACTAAACCGCTCAATTCACACGGATTAGTTATTGAACTTTACTTAAAGAACTTTTTGAAGCGAAGTTCAAAAGAAATTTCACAGAAATATCATTTTTGAGTGAAAAAAGATTCTTAAGAAAAGTTGTTGGGGATACAAAATGATACAAAACATAAAATAGCAGTTTAGACAAATTTTATTTTTAAGAAAGTTGGCGCCAGATTCTCCACTAATGGGGGTCAAGATCTTGTTGTTCATCTTACCTGGAAAGAAGCTCTGTATCCCATTAGCTTGTAATTTCTTCAGCAGTATCGGACAGATGCCTGGCACCTGACTGATGGGAATGAGATTATTCTTCATGTCCCTTTGAATGACGTCAGGCTGTGCCAACCACTGAGGCAATACTCTTCTGACCTGCAATAGCACAGTTCTTTACAAAGACATTACCCTCAATACAGTTTCATTCAGAACTTATAGATATTGTTTATAAGTGCTACCTTTTGCACGGCCTTCTCTTTGAATCCACCCAGGATGTGGAAGGCGGTCTGGGAAGTGTTGTTTTCTGCCTCTGCTTGGAACTGACCGATCTGAGGGTCCACAGCTTTTTCAGTCTTCTTACTTTCCTCTGGGTCACTTTCACATGTTTCTGTGATTTCCACAGGCTTCTCATGATCCGATTCATTATCTCCTATAATGAATGATAGTTTTCTGTATAAGGCAATTTCCACAAAAACAGTACAGAAGTTCGAAACTCTTAATAAAGTCCTTTTCCCCCCAACAAATGCTCAGTTTGCCCATATCACAAATGTTATTTGAATGCCATATGAGCTATTTTATTTACTAACCATTTTATATGAGCTACCAAAATTAGTCTTTAAAACAGTTGACATGATTTTATTATACAGTAATAAATGTTAAAATAAAGATATTGACAAATAAATAATATGCAAAAACAACAATATGGTAACAAGGTTGTACATTTCCTTGTTAGTTGTTTTGGAAATGCTGATTTGTAGTCACTAAAATATGTTTATTTTATTTAAATAAGAAAAAATTATATTTTTCTTAGAATAACTTTGTAGACTGGGTTGAATGCTTGAGAGCTTGATAAATGCAGTCAACATTATTTTTTTTAAAGATTAAGAAAATTGAATATTATTTAGGCCGTCTTGTATTAAAGCATTTACTGATATGCTGCAAAAGAAAAAGAAAAGAGAGAAAAAAAAAAATCCAAATGATTTTACTTCTTGGGTATAACAATTTTATGTACCGGTATGTTCAATTTATTAAAGGAGTAGTTCACTTTTAAAAAAACTTTTGCTGATAATTTACTCCAAGATGTCCATGTCTTTCTTTATTCAGTTGAAAAGAAATTAAGGTTTTTGATGAAAACATTCCAGGATTTTTCTCCATATAATGGAGTTCAATGGGAACCAAATGGTTCAAGGTCCAAAAGAGAGTTTCAGTGCAAACTGCAAACTGTTCAAAGGGCTTTAAACGATTCCAGATGATGAATAAGGGTCTTATCAAGCAAAATGGTCGCTCATTTAAAAAAAAAAAAGTTTAAGTTTTATAAGCACAAATGCTAATTTCATGCACTGAAACTCTCATTTGGACCTTGAACCGTTTGGTTCCCATTGAAGTCCATTATATGGAGAAAATCCTGGAATGTTTTCATCAAAAACCTTAATTTCTTTTCGACTGAAGAAAGAAAGACGTGGATATCTTGGATACCATGGGGGTGAATAAATTATCAGCAAAAGTTTTTTTTTTTTTTTTTTAAAGTGAACTACTCCTTTAATGGGGGAAAGTCAACTGCAGAAACAGGGTTGTACAAAAATGTGGTAAGCTAAATATAATACTTTGGAATATCATACGGCAAATTTTGCAATGCCATATTCATATTTTAAATACTAGACAATAGTTTATCTAACATATTTAATCATTCTCTTTCTCTAAGCAACATGGGATTTATGCCTTTATTGTTTTACAAAAAGTAATGGAATACCAATTTGTACCCTATTTGTGCTAAAAAGTGCCCGACAAATCAACAAGCTAGACTAGTTTCATTTAAAAACAATCAAACATAGTAGTAAGCCAGCATTACCTGTATTCACACTCTCATTTTCATTGGACGATGTTTTGTGTTTTTTCTTCTTTTTAGTTGAACTTGCAGCTTCATCATCCAGATTTGTTTTTTTAACATTTTCACTCTTCGTTGCTTTACGCTGCACTTTCTCAGTCTCTTGCCGTTCGCGTTTTCTTTTCTTTTGTTCTTTCTCACGCTGATGGTCTTCATCTTCATCAGCCGTGTTTGAGACGCTCTGCTGTTCTCGGGCTTTGGCCTGCTCCTGAAGTTTAGCCAGCAAAGCTCTGGATCGAGACTCTCTGCTAGATTCACTGTCCTCCTCCTCCCCTAAATACCTGATCACATACAACACATCAATAGACAGGGTGTCACATGGGTTGTTGACAAATAATATGAACTTCTTTTGGGGTCATTCCATGTCAACTCAACCAGAGGGCCCCAGAAATATTGTGTATTTCTGAACACAATACCTATCAGCTGTATAAAATGATAACTATATTTGGTTCTTGACCATTGAAAATGGGTAAAATGAGTCACATTGGGGTCCCAATATCTCTGGAACTGAACCATATAGGGCCTTAAAAATGAAGATTCCAAAAGAAAAGTTTATTAAGAATGAAAATCTTGAAGGATATAAGTATAACTTGAATACTTTTAGAGTTACAGGCATGCAAACTTTGGAAAAATAATATTTATGGGACTCATACAGGTGTGTTCTATGCAATTGAGCTTATAGAAAAAAGGGAAATGGATTTCTAGTTTTAACATTATTTGTTTTTAGATATTCCTCTTTAAAAGAAACAAGTATCAGCAGTGTGCAAAGTGTTACAGGTGTCCAGACTTGGCAAAAAACACAAGAAGTGCTTTTTTTCTATTTTCGAAATGTCACTGTTATCACAATGTAACAAAGATTGCTAAAGTCAACATATTTTACTAATAGACCTACCAATATCTGTGTAAAAATAAAATAATAATGCTGCCATCTTTCTAAAGTCATTCTTACACCCCTCTAAACTGACTCAAACTCTCGCTCCTCTACAAACTAGTGTATTACTCAATAAATATACTCAATAAAAATATTAACAAAATTAAAAAAAAAAAAAAATTAGCTGGAGAAGTTTCCGAAATTTGTTTGATTTTACACGGAATAACCCTTTTTCAAAATGTAGATTTTAGGTTAAATTATATATCAACGTAAAAAGTGAAACTGCATATTTTATGTTTATTTAATGTTTTATATTTTATTTTAATGTGTATATTTTTTATTATTTTAATCGCCCATTTACTAAAATAACTCTGCAATGAGATCATTTAAGATTATAAATACTATATGAAGTCAAATAATTATACAATAATACAGTCGATAATTAAACAGTAATTTGAAGGAAGTGTTTTTTAGTCATTTCAGATGAAATCTAAGATAAACGGAGAATTCTATACCAGACTAAACAACTAACTGATGTAATCTGAAGTGAGAGCCATTACAATTTAACTGGTCAAGTAACTTACTCTAAGATGTTCTGTGTCAGTGAACTAAATGTGCAGCAAACGTTACCTGTTTATCATAAATAGCGCCATTATTGTGACTCCTGGCTCGTGTCAGCACCACGTAGACCTTTATTTGACTCACTTAAAATTAAAATGACTGCATGTATTCATGCACAGCTTTTATAAATGAAAAAAATAACAGAACAGTGTACAGTCCAGTTGACCATGTGAGTTCCTGCCGACTGTTTTGCAGTCGCGAAGTGATGACGTAGAGAAAAGAAGGGTTTAAAAAATGCCATCATGCCATCTCTGATGATACTAGTTATTATTTTCCATATGTTGGTGGTCTAGACGTCGTTTTTAATTATGTGTCAATATTTTTTTCTATTCTAAATCTTCGATGTTCATCATTATTTATTTACACATCTAGCTGGTGTTGTCACGTGGAACCAACGATATGAGACCAAGCACATTTTGTTTGAGATTACTGAATCAGTATTTTTTTTCAGTCATTTTTTGTTAATTACTGGAGTTTATGAATGTCTGTCGATATACCAATAATGCGGCCGAAGACAGGGGCTTTGGTGCGGCTCCTGATCCGCCTAGCGCCCCCTGGAGGAAGAATCAACACACACAAAACAGTCAACAACTCAACATCATACGCCAGATGGCAGTGCTCTTTTGCTTTTCAAATGATGAACACAGAAACTTACGACTCATTCAACCAATTTCTTTTACAATCTATGCATTCCATACAAATGTAACTACTCCTACTACTATTTAATTATAATTATTATTTAATAATATATATTATATTTATTCATTTTCATTTAGCTGATGCTTTTATCCAAAGCGACTTACAATTGCTATAGACCATTTCACAAGATGTAAACAACACTGGTCCAGAAGCACTTCCTGTTTCAGTTTTTTAACAGTACATAAAAGCTGGGATAAAATACAACCAACAGAACATTTAAAACAGAATCAAAAAGTTAAACCAACATCTTTAAGATGTTTTCTTTACATGTGAAATGACGAAAACAGTTACAAACTGAAACAGGAAGTGTTTCTGGACCAGTGTTGTTTACATCTTGTGAAATGGTCTAGGTCGCACCCGGGTCTCTCACACCAAAGGCATGTCTTATCCACTGCGCCATGACCACCCCCATCATACATGTATGTGTGTCTGTGTGTATACATTAATATATACACACACACACACATATATATAGCCTATGTATAAATGTGTTAATGAGTATATAGTCTACACTGACATAAACAGGATATATATATATATATATATATATATTGTAATATTATAATAAAAATAAAGAGTATAATAAACTGATACAATATCAATACAATAACACCGTTAAAACATTTCATTTATTACATAGAGATTCTACACCGGTGAGCGTTTAGCATAGCTCAAGTATTTCCAAAAGAGAAGTGCCTCCAAATTCATTCAAGGCCACCAAGCAATCATGGCTGTTTCAACATTAGACATAAAAAATATGAACAATCCCCAGTCTCTCATATAAAACACCTTTCCACAAAGATCAACGTGGATACACACCTAAAATTCACCCCACATAATACAAACTACATCTTTTAACTCTTAATATCATAGTGAAAATGTGTAAGATGCACCCGTGTATAATTAACAACAGCCTTAATGCCTCGATTTACACATTTGCATTTATGGGATGAAATGCTGAGGCGGCAAACGGAGGATCACAGGCGCATTGAAAATCTGTGCAGAAAAAGTTAAATGTTTCATGGGTTAGGACTGAATTTGAACATATTGCATTTAATAAGAGATTGAGTGGATGTGGTGAACAGCAGAGATAACAGCATCTTGGTACTGGAGCTGCCTGTTTAAACATAATAAAGAGAATGTGCAGTTCATTGATAGCTAGAAAACAGATATTACATTGAATAGTAACATTCTATTATAGTTGTGTGCAATACAATCCAGCATCAATTGGATTTAACATTCATGTGTATAATATGAGCCCAACACTAATGTGCTAAACATCAAGATTGTATTAAATACTGTACACTAGCACTGCTCTTTCATAAACACAGTGCATGAGATCAGGTGTTGCTTATACAATATTTAGAACTCATGTCTGCTTGCTTTTCATTGGCTTTCATGCTAAACATGATTATTAGGAAATAATTGGAGCAACTCTTATTATGGGTCAAAATGATAATTCAACATGGATAATTAAAAAAGTTATTGAAAAATAGATATTAAGCCTATATATTATTTAAAAATTGCAATACATTCAGGGTTTCGCAGATATTTTTTTTAAAAAAATGAAAATTTGACAATTTGATGCTTTACTTGTTAAGTTGTGCAAATGTAAAATACATATAGCTGTAATGATGAATCTGAAAGAATTAACCAGTCAAGGTCAAGTTACGATTTTTTCATTGTAACACATTATTTGCATGAAAATTAAGCATGTTTACAGGAACAAGACTGCAAAATAAATCTATAATGTATTTAAAATATTAAATAAATTGAATTTATGCTGATTTTTTAAAAGAATTTACAGAAATAAGAATTTAGATGGAAAATTACAATTCAAAAATATCATTGGTGCTTAAAACCTGTGAAATTTCTTTATGAATGGAAATAATAATTTAAAATGTAAAAGTATTTTCACAGCCCAAAGAAATGTTTGGCTGATAACCTTTTGTGTATGTTTTGAGAGACAAAATCCACGTTTTTAAATACGTTTTATTTATCGTCAATTGTGTGGACAGGATGTTTCCTGTTTTTTTATGATGATGTGTGACTCTGCCAGATGTGAGCTATACAAAACCGCCTGGAATACCATGATAGTAGAAACGCCATCGGTCACCAGATAATGGTGGAAAACATAGTTTAAACTCATGCTCATAATAGAAAACGATCCAACATTTTTGCTAAGCAACAAACCAGTTTTCTGTTGACGACGTGGTAGACACACAGGACAGAAGTGAAGTTTGACAGCATGAGAATGATCTGAGGTAGCAAAAGATGTCACAAATCAAACATTTACCCAGAGATAGACAGCCAAAGGCCAAAAATGTGCTTCATTCTTCAATATTTTACACTCAGTATACAGCATTTTATTATGTTGAGCTCAAATCTTTTAGGGGGGGCGAAAGTACTGGTGTGGTTTCGGACGCTATTCTCTCAGTGTTTATCGTGACGGCCTTTAAGGTGGAAGGGTGCCGAGACAAACGGGTCACCAGAAGCCCCATCAGACGTCAGATTGTGATCGCCGATCGGTTTGTGTCCAGGCTCGGCGTTCACGGGTCCTTCGTAGTGTCTGGAATACTTAGAAAGCGCCTGGGGTCGAAAGGGCAGAGTGGTCACTTGGCCGAGGATGTTCTCGTCAAGGGAAGAACCTGGATGGGGGTGTAAATATCCCGGCTGGGCCACTGGATTGGTGTAGACCTTTCCAGAAGTTTCCTTCTTCCTACCAAAGGGGGCCTGGAGGAAAATATCAGGTTGAGGCTGAACCGGGGGACGAGCAAAAGGCGCATTGGAGAATACATCCCCATCGCTGTCACTGTCTTGTCCGATCCGAAATGGAGCTTTGGAGAAGACATCTACGCCTGGATCCACACCTGGATGTTGGGTTTGTGACACCAGTGGTGGCGAGTGGTTCTGAGCGTGGACTGAAACCAGGGAGGACTGGTTTTCAACTGCTACCTTGGATTCGGAAGACATCTGGAAGTTTCTCGAAGACGCGGGGCTTTGCTCATCGTCGTCATCCGAGTCTTGAAGTAATGGTCTGGAGCCGCTGCAGTCCAGACTTGGAGTTTCTTCGCCACTCACTTGTGACCGCCCCTCTTCTTTTTCTCCGTCGTCTTCATCACTGGAATGAAAACAGTCCTCAATGGGCTCCTCAACACCTTCTCCGTCTAACAACATTCCATATCCATCATGCATCCTTCTGGCTTCTGCAAAACAGAAAACCGCAAAAAGAAAATTGATAGTTGGTGACATTTTCGCATGAATTCAATAGCAGGAGAATCAATGATTGTGACCAAAAAGTATTTTGTAGTTCTATGGAACATGGTTGAAACCATCAGAATCCTATTGTTGCAGCCTGTATCGGGACAATATCAACACTGTGCTTCCTCTACTGGACCGTTCACCCAAAAATCCCATTTACTCCCCCTCATGTCATTCCAAGCCCGTATGACTTTCTTACTCTCGCTCACCACAAAAGGTGGCATTTTAAATTATGTACTGGTGTTTTTTTTTTTTTTTTTAATGAATGAATGCGGACTGGACGGTTCAAGTTTCAAAAAGGAAGTAAATCTACAGTCACTTTGTGTGAGCAACAGACTGTTTAAGTCATTGAAATCTGGACATCCAACATAGATACCATTAGGACAACAAGTGCATGAGATAAGTAGAGATGTCAATCATTATTTTGAGTCAGATCTTTTCAATTGGCTGATCCAGTTCACAAAACCAGTCCGAATGATTCGTTCATTAGTCAGATTGATTCTTGAGTTCATCTCATTTCCTCAAAGAACCAGTCAGAGCAGTCCAAGAGTTAACAGCCCACTGAAGAGGAAGATTATTTTTTATTTGTTCTCTTGGTCACAAAAAGCTACCATATTACTTTAGAAGACATTAAATCTAGCCATCAGTCATACAGGCTACTGATACTTTTACGATACTTTTGTGTTGTGAAGCTTAAAGGTCCAGTCCCCATACATTGTAATTCAATAATAAGGCTACGTTCACACTGCAGGGCTTAAATGCTCAATTCCGATTTTTTGAAAAAATTCGATTTTTTTTGCAAGGCCGTTCACATTTCCAATTAAATGCGACCTTTTGTGATCTCTTGTGTGAACGTGAACTGACCCAGAAGTGACCCGCATGCGCAGAAGAGTAATCAACGGTCAACGACGTCACTTGTTGTTTGCGGAATAGTTCTTTTTTTTTTTTATAAGTTGCGAGCTTTTGTTTTATTATTATTATAGACAATAATTATTTTATCGACGGGCAGTATGCACATAAATGTAAGATTTTTCCGATCCTCACCAACCTCGTCATAAAACCCGTTTAATCGATAGTGCGTGTCCTCGGCGCTCCTTGCTTTGTCACCGGCGGCCGCGGTGCGACACTGGTGGCTGGTGTTGCCAGATTGGGTGTTTTTTCGCTACATTTTAAGGCAGGTTTACATGTGTTTTAGCCAGGTTTTCACCTGGAAGGCTCTATAGAAATCTGTACGAAGTTAAACTGACAGAGAGCGCACGTTCACAGACACCAGAATGAACGTGTTCACAGTAATGTTCATCAGGCAGTAATACAGTATATGAACGCATTCATGCACTATCGTTCATTGAACGCGTTTAGGCACAACACTGGGGAAGAGACTCGTCTGCAGCGGCCCATAACAGTGCAGAAATGCGTTGGAGTTAGCGTTTATTGGCTAGCTACAGGTGCGTGCAATGACGTGCGGGTCGGATATATGTGACCTGGCCATTCAGAGTGAAGTCGCATTTCAAAAGATCGGATTCATATCAGATTTGGACCACATACCCAAGTGGCCTGGGTCGCATTTGAAAAGATCGGATCTGTGTCGTTCAGACTGTCATGAAAAAATCAGATACAGGTCGCATAGGGGCAAAAAAAATCGGAATTAGGTCATTTCAGCCTACAGTATGAACGTAGCCTAATAAAACCATGATTGCTCAAAAGTTCTTCTTTTGTGCTCCACTGAAAGAAGAACATTAAAGGAGAACTCCGGCGCAAAAACCTTTGGTCTAATAAATTAAAACATTGGTACCCAGTCGACCGTTCTCTAAGATTTGTTTTCATGGTAATCGAATGTAAAGAGTTTTATCTCTAAAAACTGTTTAGAGTATAACGCTAGTAATGGGGGCATATAATAAGTAAAAAGAAATCGCTAGTTAATACCACTAACAAGGCTCAAAATAGCCCCACACGAACACAGTAACATAATGAGGGTCCCTAAATACAAAACAAAGTATTGAAAACTTTGTAAGTGTACAGACCGTTTAATAAGAAGATACTTTATAAAGACAGTCCACTTCGTCTATACAGGCTGCAGCATCTTTGGAAAACGAGTCTCGACAACTCGAACCACGAACGACGTGCCAAGTGAGCTGAACTTCGTTTTGTAGTTAGTGTGTTAGTGTAGGGCTATTTTGAGCCTTGTTAGTGGTATTAACTAGTGATTTCTTTTTACTTATTATATGCCCCCATTACTAGCATTATACGCTAAACAGTTTTTAGAGATACAACTCTTTACATTCGATTATCATGAAAACAAATCTCAGAGAATGGTTGACTAGGTACCAATGTTTTATTACACCACAGGTTGATTTTGCACCGAGTTCTCCTTTAAGCAAGTTTGAAACCACATGATGGCATGGAATGATGATAATTTTTGGGTGAACAATCCCTCAAGAAGACGATCTGTGCGTTCAAAGGCATTTTAAGGGTTAGTGTCATTATTTACTCACCCTCGTGTTATTTCAAACCTGTGTGACATTCTTCTGGGAAAAACAATAGATTTTTGAAGAATGTTGGTAACCATTGATTTCCATTGAATGGACAAAAACAAGCACTAAGAAATTTCTCAAAATGTTCCACAGAAGACAAAAAGTGAGACAAAAACCTGAGTGAGTAAATGATAACAGAATTTACTACTTTTTTGGAGAACAAATTAATAAAATGGGGGGGGGGGCATGATTTATTAGCACTCCATCCATTATACAAGATGGCTACACAATGAAGCAATACAGTAATACAGGACAAATAAAGCACATTCTACTACAGAATATCCACAGAAATACTATTGACCAACACCACAGGAAATACCACGAACAGTCTACATCTAAAACAACTACCACTGACAAACAACAACCTTGTTTCCACAAACTGCCACCATTAGCCCTTCATTTGATCACATTTCCAACACGTATAAGTTCATAAACTAATAGGAAGAACTACTACTTTTTTAAAGGGCTGTCAAGATAACAGTGAGAAATATCCCCACATTAGCAACCCACATTTGTTTTTTGAAAGGTGTGTTAGCAATAGACAAGGTTAAAGGGATAGTTCACCCAAAAATAACTTTTCTGTCATTAATTACTCATGTCGTTCACCTTCAGACCACAAATTAAGATATTTTTGATGACATCCAAGAGCTTTCTGACCCTACATTGACAGCTACACAACTACCACTTTCAAGGCTCAGAAAGGTAGTAAAGACCTCATTAAAATAGTTCAACCTTAATGTCATGAAGTGACGAGAATACTTTTTTGTGTGAAAAAACAGACAAAAATAACTTTATTCAACAATTAACTCTCTTCCATGTCAGTCTCTGTTCACATTGTAGACACAGTGCTGCGCTTCCGGGATCTACGTCAGAACGCCGGCTCCGTATTGGGCGGATCCTGTGTCCAACACCAAACGCATGCATCATGGTGCTCACGTGAACAGCTCAGACACTTTTGTTTTTGTTTGCACACAAAAAGTATTCTCGTCGCTTCATAAAGTTAAAGGGGAAATGAAGCAGTGAATCAAGTTTACATGATTTACAAGATGGATTTCCAATATAATCAACAATTATATAAGAAACATTACAAACATTTAGAAGAAAAAAAGAAAAAACTTTGCATCTTTCGCCGCCAGGGCGCCGCCATTGTACAGTTGACGTCACGGGGTTGGTTGGCTCAAGTTTAACAGGCTCTGGGCACTGAAAATCACTGAAAATCAAACTGTGTTTACACCAGTGTTTTGACCGCGAACGACTAATGTTAGGTACAGTTATTAGACAAAAAGACGACGTTTAATGTTATATGTTGACAAACTGCACATAGAAACATTGATCGCGATGTCTACCGTCATATTCCCGTCTCGTCAACACCATGTAAGTTACGTTGCTATGTAGAACAGCTGGTGGTGGTTTGGGGCGAAGAGCGGGTTTGCAACGCTAACTTACCAGGTGTCAGTGTGGCTGTTGTGGCGTTACTGCAATGCCCGCCGTTTCAGAGTCCATCTGTTGTCAAGAGGTTGATCTTGAGCATGTATTGCGTGCGTGGTCAATTCTGCATCACCGGCGCGCACGTTTACCATGCTGTGCCGGGAGTTAGACGTGTGGAAGCGGCGATGCTTTCCCTGAAGGATGTCAGAGCGGAGACACTTTTTCCTAGTATATGTAGGCTGTAGCTACTAGCACTACCACTGCGAAAATATGGACGTTTTATTTCCCCTTTAACAAATAACGTTACATGCTAACTTGCATGTTGTTGACGAGACGGGAATATCTGACGGCAAACATCGCGAACAATGTTTCTATGTGCAGTTTGTCAACATATAACGTGAGACGTCGTCTTTTTGTCTAATAACTGTACCTAACATTAGTCGTGCGCGGTCAAAACACTGGTATAAACACAGTTTCATGTCGCGATTTTCAATGCCCAGAGCCTGTTAAACTTGAGCCAACCAACCCCGTGACGTCAACTGCACAATGGCGGCGCCCTGGCGGCGAAAGATAACGTTTTTTCTTTTTTTCTTCTAAATGTTTACATTTGTAATGTTTCTTATATAATTGTTGATTATATTGGAAATCCATCTTGTAAATCATGTAAACTTGATTCACCGCTTCATTTCCCCTTTAAGGTTGAACGACTGTAGTCACATGGACTATTTTAACGATGTCTTCTGGGCCTTGAAACCTCTTAGCTTTTATTAAAAAAATATCTTAATTTGTGTTCTGATGATGAACGACATGAGGGTGAGTAATTAATTACAGCATTTTCAGAGTTTTTGGGTGAACTAACCCAAACCCTAACTTCACTCACCAGTGCTGAAGTTATAAAATGAATAAACGAAATTCCATTATTGAGAGTGATGGAAACAAGTAGGTTACAGAAAACACAATGACTGAACTGAGATCAGAGCAGAGAC